ATACTCAATCGTTCGTCATGAAAATTGTATCAAAGACACTTCATTAACATAAGACAAAGAATTTCAAGAATTAGAATGTAAATAAAAGACTCCTAAATTCAAAATTAAGGGGTCTTCATTCTCTATTATTGCGCGAATGAAAAAATTAAAAACATTGGAATTTTGCAAAGAGGATAATATCTACTTTCTCGAGCTTCAATCAGTAACAACATTTGAGCTCAAAGGAAAGAATTCGAAAGTAGCGAGAATAGAAGAAAAAGTTGAACAACATTTCATTTTCCCTCTTACTTGTTCTCACGAACGACCAATATTACTAGACTTAGCTAATTTCCTTTGTTAAAACTATCAATGGTCGAAAATGATCTAACACACTCGTTTAATCATTTCCAAGACCCTAGTTGTTATCATAATAAGACGAAACACGAGATTTCTAGACCCATTTCGAGCAACATGAAAAGGTCTAATTTTTTTAAAAAACAAACATGTTATCGAAGCCACCCAATATTGGGGGCTACGACACTCGAAAATATAAAATGGGGGCTCATAAGCCCGAAATATAGCCAAATTACACCAGTTCGATGATGTCTTCAAGAATTTCCTAAACTAACTAGTTTTATGCAAATCTTGAAATCATAGTTTTATAAGTGAATAATAATAACCATCTATTATTGTTATCATTGATAAAACCAATTTCACAACTTACGCATGGCAAAGTAAAAATGAGCCACAAGAACAATTCCATGCCATTATCAAAGTTCAAAATTTTGATCCCAATTTTAGTGCATAATTGTCGTTCTAACACTTCAATTTAACATTAAATTTGACGAGTAGAGTCCATATGAGCAATAAAAAATAAATAAGTTTAAGCACAAAATCGAATGAAGAAAAAACACGTATATGCTTGTATATGCTCATACAGAATCAATACTTTACCATTTCACATGAAATTTGTTGTAATGACACAACAACATAGAACAAACAAATTCATGAAAACAAATCGAATACCCCCAATTTCAAATTAGGGTTCTTCTTTTGATTTTCCCCATTTTGTTGACCAAATTCAAAGTTTGGTACAATAAACAAGGAGCAAGATTTACATTCCTTAGCTTCAAGCGATAACGAAAATGGGGCTCTAGAGAAAGAGATCGGAAATGGCGAATGACAAAGAAGAGCACGAGCCGCGGATCATGTTTCTTCAGAATTGTTCGTTGTTTAAGTTCTGCGCGCAACTCTCAAAGTTGCGCAAGACAACAATGCGCAACTTCTAATATTGCGCGCGACACCCCAACGCAACCCTCAAAGTTGCGCGCGGATACTGGTCAGCCAAAATGACCATCTTCCCAGTTTTTGTTTTGTCTTCCAAACCAAACGTTTTAGCTCGTTGAATTCGCACCTCGACAGGCTTTCTTGCGAAGTTTTTAAAACCTGCAAAAACCTTTTATTGCTTTGCATCCAGTAGTTTATTTTCTTATTTGATAGTTTTTTGCATCATCCTGCATGCACACCGTGCTTTGTGCCTGCCCCAAGCATACATTTTGGATGTTTTTTGTAAAGCGTCTTAAAATATCCCGTAGTGGTGCTTTACGTAAGGGCTCCCATAGACAGTTTGGCATTTTCATGTACCGCCCTTTTAGAAATGTCACGTTTTTGGTATTTTTGGCGTACATAACAAAGATACAGCATATCGTACAGCGTAAAATTGTATGGCGTATGTGCTGCGTAAAATTGCACTAACAACGTGATCTACCTCCTGTTCGAAAACAGTAGAACTTCTGTTATTGTCATCAAGCGTTAGCTTAACGAGTCGACAGGCGCGCCAAATCATCGGGGTCAGACGCCCTCCGTTGGAAGCAAATACGGTTAGCTAGGAAGCACTCTAGCTTTATCGGGCAGTTAAGGTGTTCGACCACCCCCTGTATAAAGAATTGGCCCCTATTAAAGCCATTTAGACGCGTGCCCCAGTCGTGAGATGCGTGTTTTCATCTTGTGCACAAAACTGCTGAGAGAGTCGCCGATTTTCTTCTCTCTCACTGGATTTGGATATATGCCTCCAGTCCTGAGACATGTATTTCTATCTTGTGGACATCGAGTATTTGTTTTGGCAGCGAATGTCAATCTTTTATTCAAGTGCTAGGCTATGAATGCCAAAACACACCTCATTTTTATCATCTTTTAATTTGTTAAAATCATGGACTAAAATTTAATGACAGATCGAGAGACTTTAGACCGCCGATGGAATATTGAGAGGGTATCATCCTCTTTACTCTTTTTAAACCCGATATCTTCTCATAACATGACATCACCCAGGACAGCCTTTACTTGTAAAAGCGTTCTATATTAGCAAAGGGTCAATCTAGATTCTTTAGCGCGCTAAAACCAGGAAATACTTTTTCTCTTTGGTCTTAGCAGCTACTCGTCTTGAACATTTAGCGAATCGAGGATAGTTTCGACATTCTCAACACTACTGAAAGATTCCTTATCTTTAAGGAACTTCGCAGAATGAGTCTCGGATTTATTTCCTTGACTACTTTGATCATCGTCTATCCTAGACTCGATCAAAGTGGGGGCTAACAGTAGACATCTACTTTTGGTCCCCTGTCTTGACCGGAAGTGCTATGACGATAAATAAAACCATCTTTGTGTTGGATCAACGTAAAGAATACTTATGGATTGTTGATTAAGGCTTAAACACATAAAACGACTAGCTTGACCCAATACAAAATGAACAAAAGCTATCTAAAACTAAGCCCGATCAGTAATTATGCCTAATCCCGAGATTAAACTTATTTTTGACGAATTTAGAGGGGCCTAGGTTAAAATCCGAGGCTGCCGCATAAAAAGCTGCGCGCAACTCAAGGAGTAGCGCTGGCCTGGCACGCGCAACCCACAAGGTTGGACGTTTTTGAACCTCTAGTGGTGCGCTCGCGGAAGATTTAGAATTTTATAAAAATGCTGAATCGAATCTTACCATAAAGCCACACACAAGACAATTGGTTGCGTTACCCTCAACAGCGCAACTCAACAACTTGCGCACAGCAGCTACATGCGACCTTTCGAGATGAGCGCGCCACCTACTGCAGCAGAATGTTCAAAACCCTAAATTCATCCATTCCGTATAAATAGGAGTGTAATACGAAGCTTTGAACACACAGAAATTAACTCGAAAGTCAACAGAAACCTTGTGATCTTATGCACTAATCATTCCCCTTGTCCTAAACACTCACTCCTTTAATCATTTGTTCTTACAGTGGAGGTTCCCGAACAAGAAGGAGTCCATAAGTGTTCTAAACGAAGATCTAGCAAGGAAAAGTGGTAAAATCTCGAGCACTTAGATAAATCACCTTTTCTTTTCTTGTTTAAATAACTTTTAATCAACTAAATTGTGTTGTTTGATTACTCTAAACAAACTTTTAATTAATTAATTTCACATAGTATTCTTTCGTTAAACAAGACTAGAATTGGAATGATTAATTGATTGTTTTATCACTTAAGCCAAGGCGAATCTTGTTTACTTTTGTTCTTTCACGAATTTGAATAAATAAGAATAACGACTTTTGCGATGTAATTCCTACGTGATTAATGTGTGTAAATAAAATCAACTAACATAGTTTTAGGTATCACATTGCATATATTGTTTGGTGATGAAATTGTGAAAAAGGAAGAGCTAGTAGAGGCCGCACTTGGGCTAGAATAGCGATTCCTCCCTAAAAGGAACATTATTTTAGTACCCTCGCTCCCGAACTCATTTCTGATATAAGTAGACCAATTTGGGCATGTGTAAACTTATGATTCATGCTAAATATCCCTTGAACTCCACTTAGGAAAAAGGCATGAACGAGGTTTATGAGTTTTCCTAAAACTCATTGGCGACTCCTTACTAGTTTCTTACAAAAAAGCATAATGATAGAATCAACTCTAATTCAAGGTCCCCCAAACAGTCAACAATTCAAATCCTAACATGCCTTAAAACGGTGTAAAGTCCTAGCCTTTTAATGGGCCATGGGCATAAAGGAGAAGGATCCCAAACGACGGGCACACCCTCCTTACAGATATTTTATTTTATACTATTTGAATAATCCTTTTTGATAAATCAAATATATATTTTTTTAAAAAGTACTATACACCATTATTTAAATAAGCAACGACATGATATCGTATGTCTAAATATCTTGTATTATAAAAAAGGATCATATGACCGTATTTAATATTCAAGCCAAAAAGTTTATACTAAAATTTTATTAACCATCTAGGCATCGCACAGGCACAAAACTTGGCATTCCAGTTTTTCGCCAAGTGTCGCGCAGCCAGGTCACGAGACAACAACACTTAGCATTCCAGTTTTTCGTCAAGTGTCGTGCCACGTAGGCGACAAATAGATGTAAGTGTGACACATATGATGTCAAGTAAGCGAATTTTGGATAGATTTTTTAAGATAAAAATATAGTATAGAGTTTTATTATCGATATACTTCTGATATTTCATATACACAAAATTAATCATAACTTTTAATAAATATCCTATAACTCGATTCTATTTCATCATAAAATTCGTGTTAAAAAATTCTTTAAAATAAGTTCCATTTATAGTATATTTAATTTATTAAAAAAAAAATAGAAAATCAATAAAAATAATTTTAGTTTGGTAAAAATACTTTCAGTTTAATAAAAATAATTTAACGTCAATAATAACATAGATATCTGTCTACAAACAAAACTACAAAAAAGTACACTATTATATAAATAAGCGATATGGTATTGTATGTCTAAATATCTTGGATTATCAAAAGGATAATATGATCATATATAACATTCAAGTCAAAAGGTTCATCCTAAAGTTTTATTCAGTGTCGGGGCTAAAATTGCAAATTATTTATGGGGTCCTGTTCAACTTTTCAAGTAAATGGGGCCTTCTACTCGATAAATTTAATACCCAATTTTTATTTGATAAAAAAAATTCATTACATCAGAAAATTTGTCAAAATTAAATTAAAATCCTGGAAATCACTTAAAAAGAGTAGCTCTTTTTGCATGTTTTGTAGCAAAATCATCGATGACATTCTCTATATCGACTTCATCTAAAAGATCAGATTCAATTGCCATCAAAGCGAGTCCATTTACTCTTTCTTGTGACATGGTTGTCCTTAAGTATGATTTCAGCAACTTTAACTTTGAAAAACTCCGTTCTGCAGAAGCAACAGTTACAGGAATTGTTAATAATATCCTATATGCAATTGTTGCATTTGGGAAGCAAGTATATCGTTTTACAAAATTTAATAAATCAATTGCTCCCATTTTCTCCTTGGGTAAAAACTCTCTAAACCATGTTAACTCAACAAATGAATCCTCTCCATCAACATCAGAAACCTCACCTTTTTTAAGAGCATTTTCAAAATTAAAACAACAAGATAAAAGTTTCTCATCATCCATTGAATGCAATTTATCAGAATTGAACAAAAAGCCAAAGATATTCTCATACGATTCATATTGTTCAAACCTTTTTTCCAATGATGCAATAGTTTGATCCACAATGTATATAAAATATTGGATTCTAAATGATTCCTTAGGAGATAATAGTGTTTCATCACCATCTATATCATTAAATTGTTTTTTTCTACGTATTATACGTCTTTGAGGAAATATAGGATCGATTCCTATTTCAATAGCTAATTTTTTTGCAATATCCATGGCCTTTGAAAAACCATTCTCTCTATATTTTTTAAAAAAAGGAAATCAGTCCTTTAATCTCACTAATGGCAATATCAATCAGCATATCCTGGGATTGTAATTGTTTACAAACAAAGTTTACAACACATAACATTTCATACCAAATGATTGTAGCAAGCAAAAATTCATAACTACCAAGCTCATTATTTGCTAAGGATCTAGCTTCACTTTGAAGTTTATGGTCATTGTCAGCATCAACTACTTCAAGTAATGCTTCATGTATCTCAGTTATTTGAAATCTAATTGCTTTGATACTTTCAACACGACTTTCCCATCGAGTGACAGATAATGATTTAAGAGTTAAACCTTTAACATTTTCTTTTAAAATATGCCATCTCTTGGTAGAACTAACAAATATAGTATGCGTTGGACTATTTCAAAGAATTCCCTTGCTTTAGGTGAAGCATTTGCAATGTCACACAGAACTAAATAAAGACTATGACAGCCACACGGAGAATAAAAGCTCTATGATTCAAATCCAATAGTCTCTTTTGCACAGCTTGATGTTTACCTTTCATGTTAGAACCATTATCATATCCTTGTCCCTTGATATTATCTATGTCAAGATCATGAGCTATTAACACATTTTCTAACACTTTAAACAGTCCTAGACCAGTAGTATCATTAACTTGTAAGAACTCAATGAAAAATTCTGTAACTTTATAACAATTTGAACATTTATCAACACACCTTAAAATTAAAGTCATTTGTTCTTGATGACTAGCATCAGGTGTACAATCCAACATCACAGAAAAATATTTTGCTTCTTTTATTTTTTTCATAATAGCATCATTGATTTTAGAAGAAAGTAAGAGTACCAATTCATTCCGAATATCATGGCTAAGATAATGATAATGAATAATTCCATTCTCAATACATGCTCAATAATCACAGGATCAAACTCAGCCAACATTTCAATCAAACCTAAAAAATTTCCATTGCTACTTTGATATAACCTTTCGTGTTTCCCACGAAATGCAAGGTTATTTTTACCAAGAAACTTCACAATAGCAATTATTCTAATAATGAGACTTTTCCAATACTCTTTTTCTTTTTGAAATTGGCCTTGGGCAACTTTGTCTATTGTTTCATTATTTTTCAATCTATTTCTTAGTTCGCATCAAGCAGCCATGTTTGAAACGTGATCAACACTTGTTTCATGTTCTTTAAGTCTATGGCTATATATGACCAATCATTATATCTTTCATTAACCAAATTGCCTTTTCCATGACCCTTTTGGAAGATTTTACAGCAAAAACAAATACTTTGTCAATTTCTTTAAAATAAACAAGCCAATCTCTATCACATGTTTCACCATTAGGCAAATATCTAGTGTACAAATTTGAAGTAAATCTCCTAGATACTTTGTCTTTGGGCCTTTCACTATGGTTAAGTTTCTTTTAAGGCCATTGATAGCCAAAATATCAATCGACTTTTGATCAAGAGCTCCCCATATCCTTGGATCATATATATCATGAGAAACAAAATCATTTTCTTTAACATTGTGAATATAATGGTCTGAATTTTCTTCCACATTTTGTTCAAAATCATCTACATTATTCAGATTCACATCTTCTTGCTCAACATTAATATTATTATCATCAACATTAACATTGGCATTATTCGCATCTACATTATCATTATCAACATTAACATTATCACCACCAACATTATTTTCATCTAACAACTCTGAGTCAATAGGATTTTCACTTGATTGTGGCACTTTTAAAAAAAACTTATCTAAAGCACCTTTTTGTGATTGAATGAATTGATCTTCCTTCTTTTTTATTATGTTTTTCATGTTCAGATGGATACTTTCGAAACATATTAAACACAATTGCACAAAATATTTGATAGAGAGGAAAAATATCACCAGAAATAGCTTGTAATAAGCCAACGATTGAATTCGACAGATCCAAGATCGCTAATTGCTATGTATAATCCAATATTCCATCATCAATCTCTGTAATTTGTGTAAAAAAAACAAAAAAAAAACCTATCAGTAATTAAAAATAAAATTAAATGAGCAAATGAAAAAATAAACAACAAATTCCACAGTAAACTACACGAGCCATTTCAATTTCAACAAAATTCAATGGAATTATTAACCTCAAATTCAACAATAATGCACTAAAAATTCCCCAGAAAAAAAAAGTAAATAACAAAACAAAAAAAATTAAACCTGTTAACCTGTTTTAAATTGCAGAAGCCTTCGTACACAGCAAGCGTCGAATCAAAAGTCTTCACCAATGACAAAAGCGTCGATTGTTCAACTTCTGCTCCCACCCACAAAATTGAACAAAAAAAGTTAATAAAAATAAGAAAAATGCACTTAAATTAAACAACAGGAAATAATTCAACATACCCAGATATTAAAATTTAACAAAAAGTCATATCCGGTATTGAATCCGAAGAGGTTTGTGATGAAATTTTTTCCGATTACTAGCTATAGCCTATACTCACAATACTTGCAAAGAATTTTGGAACTAAGATTATCTTAAAGATTTCTTTTTTATTTGTAAAATTGAAAGAGTGAATAAAATGCATATATAGGAAAATTTGGGAGATTAACAACGGTTTAATAATTAATTTCATCTTAAAATTGAAGATTTAACCGTTGAAATTATGAATTAATATGGGAAAAATAATTTTGGGAGATGAAAAAATTTGAAAATTAATTGAATAATTGAAGAAAATGAAGATAATAATAGAAAGTAAATAAGAATATATAGAATTTTAGAAGATATAGAGTTTTTTTTTTGGAATTAGAATGGTAGATTGAAATTTTTTTGGGAAGAAAGATATCTGAATTTTTGGGAAAAAATTTTGGGAATTAGAATGGGTTTGCTGGTTTGGGCGGAGGTTTCTGGAGGGAGGATACATTCAATGTATTTGGAGGTTTCTAGAGGAATGATACATTCAATGCCAGTTGTCCAGCTCCCAAAAAATTAAAAAATGGTATCATGCATGGCTGAACCCAAGATCTTGTATACACGGTATACTTGCTCTAACCACTACTCCAACTGCAATTTCATGATATTATACCAAACTTAATTACATAAATCTAGATTTTGGGCCCCCTCAAATTTGGGGGCCCTGTTTCGTCGACCACCTTGCTCCGGCCCAGAACTGCCCTAGATTTTATTAACCATCAAAACTAGTATATAAATAAATTAGGCATTTTTCAAGAGCAATCGGTGCGCCACATAAGCAAAGGTATTATTTCGACCAATTAAGAATCAAATTTGTATTTTATTTTAGAATTAAAAAATTCACTCGCCATCTAAGAAAAAGTGGCGAATGATAAAAAATTATATTGCCACCTAAGTAAAAGTAACGAATTATAATTGACATCTAAAATTTTAATGCCACGTAGATTAGAAAACAGAAATAAATTTATCTTATTATTTTTCTTTGTAAAGGAATTTATCTTATAAACAAATGGTAAAAAAAAAATTAAAGATAGGTGCACAAATTTATAAGATAAAATTTGATAGCGTTTATGATTAATAAAAAAACTGTTCCTTGATCAGGATTAGATTAAAATTTATGACACCTACCATTATAAATTGACGCATCATAGGACATCAACAAGTTTTCGTAACAATACAAATCCACATCAAGTGAATTTTGTGTTAGTAATTTTGTGTCAGTTTTAAGTCATCATCAATGGTTGGGTAATTCTTAGCTTAACTTTTAAAATCTATGTTTAAATTTACATTTGTAATTATTACTTAGATAGTGTTTATTTGGGGTACGTAAAGATTTGTGTTTATTTGGGATACGTAACGATTGTATATGTTTATGTTTTGTTTACTAATTTTGTTTTCACATGCAGATCTAATATCTAATTTAAGTCGAAAATTAAATTCGAGCAAAAATAATTGGAAAATCAATGTACGAGTTTCCAGCTTATTTGACGTACTAAACTTCTGCAAATAAGATAACTTAATAAGTTTGTATATGTTCTTATTGAACGAGGAGGTATTTTTATAAATTGTTTACCTTAATTAAATTTTTCACAAACTTCTTTAGTTTTTTATTTTTATTTTTATTTTTTATTTTTTTTATTTTTTATAATTTTATTTTATGAACAAAAACAAAATTTGTGATTTAGGTGGCTTAATCAAGTTATTAAATTATGTTAATTTCTTATTTTTTAATTACAGAGTGATTACGTTCATGCCTCAATTAAAGCCAACTTTGTTCAACACTTTCGTCCAAAATTGATTGAAGGAAAAGTTTACTCCATTAGATACTTTTCAATTGTTCCAAATAAAAAAACAATATCGTGGTGTCAAGGACAACAAAATAATGATTCAATTTTTTCAGAATACTGTTGTTCAAGCAATTAAGGACAATGAAAAAAATTCCAATGCATATATTTGATTTTTTACAATTACAATTTTAAGATTATTTTCGCAACAATTTTTCACTTCCTGGTAAATATATTGATTTATTTTATATAAATGTAAAGATTTATATTATATCAATTTTATTTTTGCTAACATTTTAGTGTTCTATTTATCCACTTTTTTAGATTAGATGTAGTTGGTTGTAAATGAAGTTGGTGATTCTATCAAAATAGAAGATAAATGGTATATATGTATATTATTATTTTTAAATTATAATATTTATTACATATGTTCATGTGTATCCAATTATTTTTTTTTTGAGGAAAGTGTATCTAATAATTTTTGTTACATGGGTTTATGTGTATTTTTTTTCAATGTTCTTATCAAAATATTTATTAAGGGAAACAGAGTCAATCGGATCAGAACAATTTTTTTTTTAAGTATAAATTTTATAAATAAAATATGATCTATGAAAAAGAATGTTTATGGGTGATATATTTATCCTAATATTTGACGGGTGAGATACCATATTTATGATTTATTTATTAATCATAAATACAATTTTCACAGGATCACCTGAAACCGGGAGTGGAACTCTAACTACTTGAGCTATCCCTCACTCTCAATCAAAATATTATATGATAATAATAATAATAAATAAATAAATAAATAAAATTGTGCATTGCACAAATTCATATAAAAGTTCGAATTATTAAAAAATCATCAAAAATTGGAATTATTTTGAATGAATAAGGCAAAATTGGAATTATTCTGGTCAATTTTTCGAATTGAACAAGATGTGAATGGCATGTGATTTGTATCTTCCCTTTTCCTTTGTTGAAGTTGAACTAAGCTATTCACATGAAATCAAAGCAATAATACCTTTCGGTTAATCTTCCATCTTTCCTCAATTACACCTCCACACCATCGATTTTTCCGTTCAACTCCTCCCTGCTCCGCTGCCCAAAACCCCCTTTACTCTGATTATCAGATTAATCACTGTAATTAATGCCGATTATTGTTGTTTGTTAGATAATGAGAATGAGGCAAAATGTATCTGATAAAAGGGAAACAGTAGATATTCCAGCTTCATTTGATGTTGATTCAAAGAACAATCCAGAATCTTCTGCTACATCATGGAAGACCATTTTCTACCTTTGTCTTGCTTTGCGTATGGTAAATTCATTCTTGGTGCAGACTTACTTTAACCCTGATGAGCATTGGCAGTCTCTTGAAGTTGCGCATCGCCTCGTGTTTGGGTACGCAACTAGTTATTGGCCCGAGTGATGCCTCGAGTTATTATTTCAAATACCCGAGTGTTAAATTATATGATTTTTAACATTTTGTGTGACTTTCAAATTGCAGATATGGACATCTTACATGGGAATGGAAGAGGGGAATTCGCGGTTACTTGCATCCACTTTTGTTTGCTGTTCTTTATAAAGTTTTGGCTTTTCTTCACCTTGATACTCCTTGGATTATGGTAATTTTTGGATTCCTTATTTCTTTTGTTGTTTTTGGTGGATTAAGTATATGTTAAAGATTGCACTGAAGGATTTTCTCAGAAACAATCATTATGTAAATGTAATAGATTGAACACTTTTATTTTGTGATCATTAACTTGGATTGATAAAAATGGCAAAAAGTTTATTATTGTTTTATCCGACTCGAGTGAGATGGCATTTTGGTGATCATTGCTTATGATTGTTTCAGATGAAAGCACCACGGTTGCTGCAATCCATTTTTGCTGCCATATGTGATTTGTACTTGTACAAATTTTCTGACATCATTTTTGGGAAGCAGGTTGCTAAGTGGACTGTATCCTTCCTTTAAAATTATAGAAGTTTCTTTTTTGCAAATTCATGTTGTTTTTGCTAGATTTCTATAGATGCATTTATTGCTGTCCGCTAGTTGAATAGGAACATATGCAGATCGTAAATGTAGTACCACGCAAATGTGGCATCTCCCGGAGTCCTGGGTGTTATTTTGTGAGTTGATAAAGTGGAAAGTTTCTACATTAGCATAAAACTATAACAGCTGTGGTAAATATTTTTGGATTGTAGTTGAAGATAACCTTTTAAAACCAAATCTTAAAAAAAAAAAAAGAGTATCTACTTTTTTATGTAAATCTGTTGTACTTGTTAACTTAATGGCTTTAATCAGATTTTAAAGGCTGAAGCAGAGATTTTTGGTTTATGTCAGATGTCGTGGTGTGGTTTTAAACGCATGTTACAGAATGGCATTCCACGAAATGACAAGTTGAAATTCCATTACTGAATGGCGGGAATATCCTTGATTTAAATTCCATGATCAAAACACGTTTATTATCCGAGTTGTACTTAACTTGCAATTACAGCTTTTCTCTCACCTTACAAACTGGTTTGTGTTTTTCTGTTGTACGAGAACTTTATCCAACAGTTTAGAGACTGTTCTTACTATAGTCAGTCTTTATTATTGGCCATGCATGAGAGTTAGCTCTGGCAAAATGTCTTCAAGTTCTAGAAGGTGGGCTCTGGTTACTGCTGCATTAGCCAGTGCTGTTCGTCCAACCAGTGCCATAGTATGGCTGTATGTCGCTGTTCTAGAGCTGCTTGTGGCTTCTGATGGACTAAAATTCATCTTTCTTGAGGCTGCTCCTATTGGGTTGGTACAACTGCTTATCTTCCTCTTTTTTCCCATGATCTCACTTTTGAGTGTATACCTGGGTTGAAAATTTGGACTCAGGGGCCTGTTTAGAATCTGTACTGCATGAAGTAAATAAGTCTCTAGTTAAGGTTTTGGAGCATGCATCACACACATTTATATGCACATTGAATTTCTAACTTTTGTTGATCAAGTTGGTTATGTCATAATATTTTGTAGCATTATGTAATTCATTCTATACTCCAGAAGAGGTGTTTGGGGCGCCCAGGGGGGGGGGGTAGGGGAGTCAAGAGAAAATGTTGCTGGTCCTTTGTCTATAAGTGCTATTAGAATGCTAGAGCATCATATGTTAATGTGTTCAATAGTCTTGTATTGGCAATGGCCTTGCCTTTCCACTAAAGTCTTGTAGTGAAATATGCCATGGTTTTCCACCAAAGGATGGAATTGAATATTCTACACAACATGTGAATCGCTGTTGTCACAATTCAGTGTTGAGTTACTGAGTTAGGATGTGATGAGAGGGATTTTTCTTAGTTGGCTTTATAATTGCTACAAGGAAGACAACTGTAAAATCTTGTTAAAGAATAGAATTCCATTGACAGAAATGTTGTAATTGTGATTGCTCCCGCTAGCTAAAGCATATTAATTTTTTGTTTTTTCTCTTCCCTGGGCAGCTGAGAATGACCTAAACTCTTTTCTATTTCTTTTTAAAAAAACTTCTGCACACCTAGAAGAACTATAGAAGCAATAAGCCTTAACAAGGTAATTTAAATCTGTTCCTTTAGTTAATCTAGCTTCCACAGATCCAATTCTGTTCACTGCAGATGTTTATTTCAAACCCTGAGCATTATTCCCAGCTATGAGAAGAAGGCAGAATTATCTTTATTATCTCTTTTCCGGGATTATCTTGAGTGCAAGCTGAGAATCTATCTGTAGTGATCGAGAATAGAGTTTACAGAGGCAGGGCTGTAATGGATCAGGTGTGGCCCTTCCTAGGCTTCTGGAGTTTAATTACTAGCTAGCCTCTGAGATGTAAGTCTTTGGTTGCTGAGTTGGTCACTTATTAGCCACACATCACATGTTTAGTTATTTGGAAATAGCTTTGTTATGTCCCCCTTTTAAAAATAGTTCTTCTCTAACAAATATGCCATTGGTAGAGAAGCTGTTTCAAGTATTTGTGATCAGTAAAGCTAGGAATATGTAGCATATTACTACTTGTTCCTGTACCAAGCCACTGAACATGTTAGTTGGAAGAATAAAGCTAAAGTTGATTGAGTGTAGTTGCTAGTAAATTATATCAGAGGTGCTGAACAAAAGGGAGGTGTGTAGAATGTAGTAGACTGATTTTGTATAATGTGCTAGCAAGACAGATTAATAGAGGAAAGATTGATATATGATTGATAAGGGCCGAAAGTTTCAAAAGATAGCTTGAGGCTATTACTCTCTATTAGTGACTTTAGGTCACAATTCTCATAATGGTGAGTTCAGACTCCGTAAAATATCTTCAGACATTGCCCTCAGCTCCTAAGGCAATGGTTTCACCTTTCAGCTTCTTCTTCAAGGGTGTTGTGCTTAGCCTCAAGTTTTGTGTTTTCATCCTCAACAATGTCTTCTATCACAAGTCTTTAGACTCCATTTCAGGACTTTTTGGAAGGGCAGTTTTTGGGCCAATTTAAAGAGAAAGTAATCTGTTTGTAGCACTTCTGCAATGTCTTTGAAAGCATCTTAGTCTCTCTAACAATGGGGGAAAAAAAAAGATAGTTTTTGCTTGCATTTTATAAGTATTTTTTGAGCATGTTAGATCTAGATGTGCATACTGTTTCTTTGATGTGGTATATTTCTGAAGTTAGCATTCTAAAAAGCTTCTCACATAACAAACTCATAACTCTTACAAACTTTTGTAGCCACTTCTCATGCTGTGTTTTCATTGCCCTTTTTCTTCCCTCTGGCATACCCAGCAATGGGGGTTGTTGATTCTCTGTAGCACCTTTTTCTTGATTTAATCTCCATATTATAGTTAACTTTAAATTAGGCTACCTTTTTGAAATTCTTTGGATAGCTTTCCACTTTTGTTTGCTTTTCATTTGAGTCCATAAATTAATGAACTAAATTACTCGCAGTGTTTCTATTGTTTGTGTGTGTGAGTGTGTGTGTTTTATCTAATTCTTAATTGACTGGATTCTGTATTCTTATTATTCTTCACTTGCCTTCTCAGGGCAGCAGTGCTTGCAATCACAACTCTGTTGGATCGTATGGTTTACGGGTCTTGGGTCATAGTGCCTTTAAATTTTCTGAAATTCAACTTTCTTTCCTCTGGCGGAGACTATTATGGAACTCATCCTTGGCATTGGTACTTCACTCAAGGCTTTCCTGTGATGATCTTCACCTTCTTGCCATTCTCTTTGGCAGGCATCATAGACTCTAAACACTGGAAGCTCTCTGGTTTAATTGGCTGGGTTATAGGCATTTACAGTTTGTTGGGTCATAAAGAATTCAGGTACATTTTAATTCATGTTTGGATGTATGATGATTTTCTCACCTAGCTTTATAATTTTTATAGAGGCTAATACTTTTGCAAACAGGTTTATCTTGCCTATTCTTCCAATAGCATTGATGTTTTCTGGGTATACATTAGCAGCTCTTGAAGCACCTGACTTACCAATGGGTAAAAACAAAAAGGCATCAACCACACATACTAAATGGCCTGTAAAGTTGCGATTAGCAGTTTTCTTTTTGCTTGTCACCAACATCCCAATGGGCCTCTATATGAGTTTGGTTCACCAGGTATATTCATCAAGTAAGACTATCAATAGATTTTTGGGAGTAAATACTGGTCTGTTGGTCTTTTTTGTCCTCTGTTGTGTTACCTTATCTCCTTGTTGAATGAGAGGGATGGCCCCTGGAGAAGAATATCTGATAGTCATAATAACTTCAATACTTGTATTTTATAAGGGAGAATGCAGCTTTTGTTGAATACATTACCTAAGACTCTAGACCCTAATACTCACAAGATACCTTCACTGCTTCTGTGCTTCATGTCCCACTAAGTACTTGAAGACCAGGAGGGGCATAGAGTTCCCCAAATTTTGTGTTTGGGGGTGAGAGATTGATAGTTATGACGATTCATGTTAGCCGACCCCAAATCTTTTTGGGAATAAGGCTTTGTTGTTGTTGTTGTTGTGGTGAGAGATTAATAGTTGTAGTTTTACGTTCTACAAGGTCAGGACTTTGGCTTATACTAGTCATTACCTGAAATTTCTGTTGGGTTGGATTGTACTGACTTTAATACTTGGACAGAGAGGACCTGAAGACGTAATGCAATATATTGCAAGAGAATCACTCAATGGTGAAGTCAGAAGTGTACTCTTCTTGACACCATGTCATGCCACACCTTATTACTCAGCTATTCACCAAAATCTGCCCATGCGCTTCTTGGACTGTACACCAAGGTTTAAGTTTGCAATTTATTCCCGATAATGTACCTCATTTGCTGCATATTCTGTTTCTGAATGGTAACATCGTCTGGTTTATCATATTAGTGAACAAAGAGGAACCCCAGATGAATCCGACCGTTTCATGCTGGATCCACGTGGCTTTGCAACAGAACTTGCAAAGAACTGGTCTTTACCTAGCCACATTGTTTTATTTGATTCCGAAGAGAGGAAGTTGAAAGAATTTCTAATCTCACAATCTTTTAGAGAGGTAAAGCTCCAATTCTTAGCACTAGTTACTTATTCTGTGCTGAAGCTGAACTTAAGCTTTATTGGTCTGGCAGGTGAAGAGATTCTTCCATGCTCACTTTAAGGTAGATCGTGATCTTCAATCGTCAATGGTCGTGTATATGTACACAGGGTGGTGATAGAACTGACATGCCCGCAATCTTAATGCTAAGCCAGTCCCTGTTTTTGATCACTTTTTTTGGTATTTTCATACTCTGGCTGGCTAATAAAAGTGTACTCGCTTTTGACTTAACTGTATTAACATTGATTTAGCTGTTAAAATTTTACATTTCTTCATTAATTTATACCGACAAAGAATCACTACTGATTGTTCTTAATTTAATTATGGTGATTGTCACAAGTTTTCCTTGTTTTTACTATCGTTCCTGGTATTCTGTGCTTACACATTTGACTGCTAGGCTTTTGACCTGCCATGATTGTCAATGCTCGCTTCTTTGATCCGCTTTATGCTCATGAGTGTCGGTCTTTTATGGCAACAACCAAAACTGGGTTTCTTACTAAAATGGGGCAGTAACAGTAAGATGCATGTAGGTTTATGTTTGCATTGAAGCTGAGCTCAAAATGCATTTATGTATCTATAACCTGATATGTTTTCACTGTCTGATGCTGGTGTAAAGGATCTCTGATGTTTGAGATAAATGAGTCACCTAATGTCAATGTAAATGATCTTCTTGAGTTTGACATGAAGAGAAATCAAATTGAAATTGAAATAGAGAGTAAGCAATAGTTTGTGGATGAATGCAATAGTAACCTGAGAAGATCATCGGTTTTGGACGATATGATGAGAGAGAGAGAGAGAGACCTGAGAGATCATCGGTTTTGGACGATATGATGAGAGAGAGAGATCATTGGTTTTGGACGATATGATGAGAGAGAGAGAGAGAGAGAGAGAGAGAGAGAGAGAGAGAGAGAGAGAGAGAGAGAGGAGCTGGAGGAGAATAGCAGTAGGAATTCCTACTTTGTGTTGCATGGATCATCCAACATTACAAACTACGCTGTTACGGGCTCGTCGTTGTAATTGGATGAAAGTTTTTCCGCTTTGTGAACAACACACCAGTGACAGTGAGAGTCCGGTTTTGATACCTTCAAGCTCCGATCACTATCAAGCAGTAAAGAGTTAGTATGAACAAAAAAAGCAAGTTCTAGATTCAGCTTCAAGCTGTGAAGTGCTGAGAGACCAAAGCAAGCGTCCTCCACGAGCCTATGATTGTCCTAGTCCTGAGACTTATTTTAGCCAAGTTATGCCTGATGTCGCCTGCTTGTCCCGCGATTCGTCAGGATAATAATGAAATGAAGGCTTCCTGAGCTGATCCATTGCCATACTGATGGAAAAGTATGGTAATCCTTAACGATTACTTGGTCCTTACTCAGATTCATACGAAGTGAAAAGCTAGCTATAAGATTAAGATGACTAAAAATAGGCCAAAAAGCACAAAGAATGCAAACTTAATTTGCTTAATTATTGTTTAACTACTTAAAATAGTTAGTAAATGAAAGGCACAAAGTTTCGTCAAAAACCAAATAATAAGCTTTGCCAAAACCTCGGAGATCAAAGTCTCACTCATAGGGGTAATTTCGTCAAAAATTATAGATTTTTTAAATTAATATAAAATTACAAATTTAACAAAGTTTCTAAAAAGATGGAAATGTATCCTGTTACAGAGTGGCAAAACCGTCTTTTTAACTACTAGGCACTTAGGCAGTCCTATTTAAACGCTATTTTTAGTAATTGTTTGTTCATCATATTTTTTTTCCTCACTTAGTTTCAAAGAACTGTATAAAAAATTAATTAAGAACAAAAAAAGATTTTATTGAATAAAAGCGGACAATTTGGATTATATAGCAACATAATCTTCAGGTTTACTTTCTCTCTTCTTTACTTAATGAGTACTTTATATTGAAGTTTTTCTTATTCAAAGATTATATTAAAGATTGATTAATGAATTTATTATGCAATACATTTTATATTGTTATTAATATAGCTCTTTGGTAATTGTAGAAAAAAAAGTTTATCGTGTTTTTTTAGACACAAAATTTATCGTGTTCAATTCCATAGTTTGTTTAATTTATTAATTATACTAAAAATCTTATGAAATATTTCTCAATTTGAATTTATTTTAGGTCCTCCCAAAATAGTAGGAAATATATATAGTTTATGTCATTGTGTGTGTTCGAAAGGATGATTTTGTTTGTGATGTCTCATTCATCATGCCATCCTAAATAGAAAAAACAAAAATTGAAAAAACTCATTTGGCTTATAATGTTAATATTGATTAGATATGACGTATATGAGGGTTGTTGGAGGGTATTATTGACATTTCAGTAGACCGATATCGAAGGAAAAAATTCAGCATTTGTAGCGTGTAGTTATGTAATTATGTATTTTTCGTATAACTGATCATGCATTATAAGTTTATAACTGATCATGCATAGGGTTGCAGTTGATGTCTCGACAATTATTTAGTTCGAGTGATTTGACGATTTTGCAATTGGATATCTTACTCTACTTAAACACTTAGAATAAGATATTTCTTTGATCAATTTTTTTTTATTAGCTTTATTTTTAAAGTTACTCGGTAATACTCTATTAGGGGCCGTTTGGTTGGGGGTATTCATCAAAGGGAATGGAAATCAATTGTCCTGATTTCCTTTGTTGTTGTTTGTTTGACATTTTTTCCCATTCCCTTTACCCTCTCCATTACCCCAAATCCTTCCAACTTCATTTCCCACCCCCCAGGTTTTTCCATTCCTTTTCCTTAGCCACCACAACACCACCACATCCAAACCAGCCACCACCATCCTACCCTACCCCCACCACCCAGCCACCATCGCTGCACCTCCCCCGTCCCTCATCGGAGCTCCCCCGTCCCTCGCCGGAGATCCCCTCCCCCGAAAAGCTCCCCCACTCCCGCAAAAACCCTGCTCTCCGTGAACTCCACCACCTAATCCCGCTCTCCTTGAACTCCACCACTGCCTCCAAGACGTCGCCGTCGCTTCCTTGTCCAAGCCAACACTTGTGAGCTCGCCGCTGCTTTCACGTGCACCATGGGTGTCGTCATCCCAACCAAAACCCCGACCACCATGAAATTTCGAAACCCCGGCCACTCTCAAACCCCAAAACAACCACCAAATCCCCAAAACCACCAACAACCCCAAAACCCCTCTTCTCCGTGAGCTCGCCGCTAGGTTGGGTGGCCGGATTTCAAAAGTTGGGTGGTAGGGAAGGGGGAAGGTTGGATTACTAAAATAAATTTGTGTAGTGGTGGTGGTGGTAATGTGGTGGATCTGATTCCCTTTGATTTTTATAACAAACAACATACTAAAAGTTGAGGGATTTTCATTCCATTCTATTTCATTCCCTTTGTTCATTCTATTCCGTTTACCCCATGCAAACCAAACGGCCCCTTGTGTTATCTTGTACGAGAATTTGCAAGAAAGTATAGTAATATTTCTTCCCTTTACTTTATTAGTTGTAACTAATGTTTGTTCATTGTACTCGTATGTAGCTAGTACTCCCTCCGATCCTAATTTTTAGTTAAGTTTGTATTTCTTAGTTAAATTTGTACTCCCTCCGTCCCATAATACAGTTCTTGTTTGTATTTTTTCACGGTATTTAAGAAATGGGAGGAGAAAGTTAATAAAGTACATTAAAAAAGGTAAAAAGTACAATCATAAACAAAAGTTAAAGAAAAAAAAGTGAATGAAGTACATAAAAAAAAAAGGTGAAAAATTCAATTATAGACAAAAGTTAGAGAGAGAAAGTGAAAAAAGTACAAAGCAAGTGGAAAATTCAAGGGCAATTTAGGAAGTACAATGAATAAAGTTAGAAAAAATAAGGGTACAATGGTCTTTACATACTAACCAAAAATAGAAATAGGAACAATATTTCGGATCTCCAAAATAGGAAAACAAGAACTTAATATGGGACGGAGGGAGTAATTTTTTTGTTAGAAAAAAATGGTTAAAGCCTAACCAAAAAAAAAAAAAAAAGGCTTCATTTGGTTTTTAGCAATTAAGTCAACTTGAAGTTGATCAAAGGCTCAAAGCGGTATATGCGCTTTCATAATTTTGTGGAATAAAATAAAATCTACTACTTATTTTTAGTATTACTAGTCAGATTATAGTGCAACACTTTTATCAACTTAATTAAATAGGAAATTATTTCCATTTTATTTTATTAGTAACTTTATTAAAATGAATATGAAAAATATGCTAGGTGTTTATGTTTATGACAGGTTAAATTCAAAACTGTAATCAAGGACTTATATTATACGAGTAACCATAAAGAAATGGCACATTCAAGTAAATCTTTGTTGGATTATTAATTCGAATTATTTGATTATTTTTCTGGTCATTGTATTGAAATTTTGTTGAGCCACCAGATTTGAGATGAGATAAAGAGAAAAGGGCTAGATAAAAACTATTGCATGATTGTGGACATAAATAGAAAAAATAAATATGAAAAACCATCAATGAATATTTCTCATATTATCTCCACAAGCTAAGAGGTACACGCATAAGAAATCAAAAGAAAAAAAAAAATTAACCAACTCCCACCATTAACCTAGATCACTCAAGAAAAAAAAAAAAAATAGCCATGTATATTAGGAGTTGTGAAACTAATAATACAGAAAATATATTTACTAAAAGCATGAGAAAAAAAAGAAGAACAAAAAAAAAATCATAAATAAGTAACTTTAGAAGGAGTTTATGTGGAAGAAATGGAACAGTTATTATAGGGTAGTTATGATAGATAATTTTTTTTAAAAAAATGATTCTTAATTTCTAATTGTAGATAAGAGAGGTAATTTTGCAAATTGAGAAGGGCATTTTGGGAAAAGGCAAATTTATCACCCAAGAAGCCCTTTCTCTTTATATAGTACTATAGATTAAAAAAATTCAAATTAATTTATTTTTTCTGAAAAAAGGATTTGATTAATAAAGACGAGGCCTGTCAAAATGAGGGACCTGAGCCATCGCTCAAGGTGCTCTCCTTTATTTAGCCAGCTCAGCCTCGGTGGCCCGTGGTTTACAAACAAGTCAAATAATAATACGACGTGACAATATAGGTGATTCACAATTTGACATGGCAAATTATAAATAAAACAAATAATTTAACACTTTAGCCGATGGGCCAACACAGCTTGACATGTGGCCTATTTCTTGTCATACACTTTTCATGTTTTGTTTCATACTCCCTCCGTTTCATATGACTTTTCATCGACCAACTTGATCGATAATGGTCACAGTTAGTTGCCATACATCAATGCAATAACTAATCGATTCTTCATGCGTATTTCAAAACAATATGATATTTCAGATTAGGCAAATTTGGTTGGCCAATTTTGAAAAAAATTATGGTGTGATGTTTTGACGTAAAGATATGAATCACCCTACTGCATTAGTATGTCACAGCCTCACAAGAAATGCAAATTTTATGTCTAGTAGTGGTGACAAAAGAAAAGATAAAAGAAGAAAACTACAGATATTAGCTTATTTTGGACTTTTATGTACACTTAAACTATATAAATCATACTATAAGCATAACCAAGGGTCAAAGTATATGAACTGTTCATTGTATCTAGGATTATTGTGCATGAAAAGTTTGGCTGATGATTTTATTTTATTTTTTTCTTTTTTTTTGTATAAATAGGGCAGTAATTATAGAGGGATTAAGCTGTTCTGTTCCTTGTTCTGATCATAATTCTAGCTCGAAATGGCTCAAAATGGTACTACTTGTCCAAAGCCAATGCAGGCTACCTCTACCGGAATCTTCCAAGGAGAGAACCCTCTTGATTACACTCTCCCCCTTCTCATCGTACAAATAATCCTTGTCATTGTTCTCACTCGTACCTTGGCTTTCTTGCTTAAACCTATGAAGCAACCTCGTGTGATTGCCGAGATTATTGTAAGTAATCTTTCTGATATCGTTATGCTTGCATAATATGAGAGATTGTTATGTATATATACACCCGGGTGCACAGTGCACGGTGCACCTATTATTAGTATTTTGTTCTCATTTTGATGATTGTTTTTCTTTTAATCATCAAATGAATAACAAAACTAACCTTGGGTTAGTTGGGTGCATGGTGCACCTAAGTGTATATAAAAATTTCAGGCATAATATATACTGTATCTACATTTAACTTATTTTTTGTCTTAATTGGTAGTTTAGCAGTAGCTCTTGACTTTTAGTTTTAAACCATATTGTACTGTAGGAATTATTTCCTGCATTTTTGTGGGTAAGTCTCAATACCTCACAATGATAAATTAGTGTAAGACGGGTCTCATTCAAGACTTCTCTGTAATTGGCACATGAGGGGTTTGTTACGCAATTGTCTAATATTTCAACCCAAGAATCTATTGTTATGGTTAATTGATGATCTCAACTAGTACTAGAAAATCAAGTACCTATTTGTTTTATATAAGTAACAACTGAAATTTATCCCAAAAAGCTTTTAAGTATTAAAGCCTAAAGATAGTGTTATTTACATGATTAAGTTAAGGCTCTGATTTGTTTGCTTTGGGGGATTATTCTAATATTGATAGATAAACTAAAGCTTTACACAAAAATTATATAGAACAGCATTATAAATATAGTAAATTATCATCCCACCTTTCAATTCTTTGTGGACAATTATTTACAACTTCTGTCGTATTGCATGGATTTGCTCATAAGATATGATGTTTATGAAGTGTGACTATACTGATTGTGATCTGTATATGCATGTATCACGATATTCTAAGTATAGTTTGTACATGTATGAATGAAGAAGGAACTATTTAGGAGTAATCTTCAACTAACTGTGTGACATTAATGTTGTGTTTCGTTTTTATTATCAGGGAGGGGTGCTACTAGGCCCATCTGCCTTTGGTCGTAGCGAGGCATTCTTGCAAACTATTTTTCCTCCCAAGAGTTTGCCAGTATTAGACACATTAGCCAATCTTGGCCTAATCTTCTTTCTATTCCTGGTAGGCCTAGAATTGGATCCAAAAGCATTACGACGGACAGGAAAAAAAGCCACAAGTATTGCTCTTGCAGGCATTTGTTTGCCCTTTAGTATGGGAATTGGTACTTCATTTTTCCTCAGGGCAACCGTTTCAAAAGGAGTTAGCCAAGGTCCTTTCATTGTATTCATGGGAGTCGCGCTTTCTATCACAGCCTTTCCTGTCTTAGCCCGTATCTTAGCTGAGCTTAAGCTCCTTACCACTGATTTGGGTCGTATGGCCATGTCAGCTGCTGCAATCAATGATGTGGCAGCCTGGATTCTCCTTGCACTAGCTATTGCTCTATCTGGCACTAATAAATCTCCTCTAATATCCTTATGGGTTTTCTTGTGTGGTGCAGCTTTTCTTGGCTTGTGTATTCTTATAATCCCACGTGTCTTTAAATGGATAACCCGACGTTGCCCTGATGGAGAGCCCGTGGATGAAATCTTCATATGTGGTACGTTAGCTGCAGTTTTGGCAGCTGGGTTTGTGACCGATTCTATTGGAATTCATGCACTTTTTGGGGCATTTGTTCTTGGAATCCTAGCTCCAAAGGATGGGCCATTTGCCAGTGCCTTGGTAGAAAAGGTTGAGGATCTTGTGTCTAGCCTCCTCCTACCTTTGTATTTTGCTTCGAGTGGTCTTAAAACAAATGTAGCCACCATTCAAGGGGCTCAGTCTTGGGGACTTCTACTTCTTGTTATACTAACTGCCTGCTTTGGTAAGGTTGTTGGGACTGTTGTTGTTTCGCGCCTCTGTAAAGTGCCTCTTAGTGAGGCTATTGCTCTCGGGGTTTTAATGAACAGCAAAGGTTTGGTGGAGCTAATTGTCCTGAATATTGGTAAAGATCGAAAGGTGATAGTAATATCTTATGTTTGGGTTTAGTTTTATACACGTGTTATAATCTAGTGTTTGTAGTGAATTATTGTCTAACTTTTTGTCTATTCATTATAGGTGTTAAATGATCAAACTTTTGCTATTATGGTTTTGATGGCTCTAGTTACCACATTCATGACAACACCAATCATGATGGCAGTGTATAAACCAGCTAAGCGAGGACGCACATATAAACTAAGAACTGTTCAAAGAAAAGACCCTAGCAGTCAACTCAGAATCATGGCATGCTTCCATAGTGGAAGGACAATCCCAACAATAATCAACTTAATTGAAGCTTCCCGAGGAACAGAGAATAAACAAGGGCTTGCAGTCTATGCAATGCACCTTATGGAGCTCTCGGAGAGGCCTTCTGCTATTCGGATGGTTCACAAAGCTCGAAACAACGGCCTTCCCTTCTGGAATAAGGGGATGCAGTCAGACCCAAACCAAGTTACAGTGGCCTTTGAGGCATATGGGCAGCTTAGTCGGGTCCAAATCAGGTCAATGACATCAATCTCCCACTTCTCTGACATGCATGAAGACATATGTGTTAGTGCTGAGAGCAAGACGGCTGCCCTCATTATCCTTCCCTTCCACAAGCACCAGAAGGTCGATGGCTCATTAGAAACTATAAGGCATGAATATAGAGTAATCAACAAAAAGGTCCTTGAAAATGCTCCTTGCTCAGTTGGTATATTAGTAGACCGAGGGCTAGGTGGTTCTTCGCACGTGTCAGCAAGCAGTGTCGATTCTACCATCACTGTTTTTTTCTTTGGTGGACCTGATGATCGTGAGGCATTGGCCCTTGGTCAACGGATGTCTGAGCACCCCGGGATCACCCTGATTGTAGTCCACTTCAGGGCAGACCCCAACATGGAAGGAGGTGAAAAGGTGGCTGTTGATGTGAGTGATAGTAGTAGCTGCAGTGCACACTCCAAGGCACCTGATGAAGAAGCCATAAATGCTATTAAACAAAAATTATCCAAGAATGGGTCAGTTAAGTACGAAGAAAGAGAAGTGAAAACAAATTCTGAAACTGTCGAAATTATCAAGGAATTTAGCCGTTGTCATATGGTCTTGGTTGGACGATCACCTGAAGGTATTGTGGCTGCTACTTTCAGTATTAATGTAAAGACTAGGTACCCTGAAATAGGCCCAATTGGGGGATTGTTGATCTCTCAAGATGTCTCAGCAAATGCTTCTGTTTTGGTGATGCATCAGTACAATGTTGGTTCAAGACCAGTATCCATAGACATGGAAGAGCGAAGTGATGAGGCTGAAACCGAATAAGTGATTGATTCGATTAATTTCCTTCATTCAAAATTGAATCTTTTACTCATTGCTTATTGGTGTCTACGATGTAGATATATATGTACATAATCCATAATATCAACCAGAGACTTCGGAATAACAATTTCTGGAGTATTTCTTTGTTTATAGTCTTTTTCCAAAGTTGTTGAATTAACTTCTATGAAAATCTTATTGCATTTATTATGTAAAAGAATCTGGTATAAGTCACTGAGCTGAAATGAAGCTTGAGCTTTTCACAATCTCAAACTGTAGAAGTATATATATGTGGCAAAAGAATTGTATCACCTTTAAAGAGGTTTTCATCTACTGTGATCTTCATTCTTTTTTTCAATTAAATGATAGGTTTTGCACTTTGACCTTAAATGTATCTTCTTATATTCTTGCGCCAGTGATTGAGTTGTGATAATTGTGAGTTCGTGATGTCAAATTATATCACTGATAAATAAAGTCGGTCTCGCAGCCAGGCCACGAGACAGTGACACTTGGCATTCCAGTTTTTCGCCAAGTGTCGCGCCACGTAGGCGACAAATAGGTATTATTGTGACACATATGATGCTAAGTAACCGAATTTTGGATAGATTTTTAAGATAAAATTGTTGTATACAGTTTTATTATCGATAAAATTCTAATATTTCATATATACAAATTAATCATAACTTTTAATAAATATCCTATTACTCAATTCTATTTCAATCATCAAATTCGTTTTAAAAAGTTCTTTAAAATAAGATCCATTTATAATAGTATATTTAATCACAAATTTTTTTACGTAGCTAGCCAAACCGTGTCACCAACTATTAAAAGAGTTACTTCGTTAGTGCTATAGGGGTTACTTGGTCAGTGTTATAGTGGTTACTCAATCAGTGTTATAGATTGGGGTTATAAAGTCAATGTTAGAGGTTACTTAGTTAGTATTACAGGGGTCACTCGGTCATTTTTATAGGAGTTACTTTGATGGTGTGGCTAGCCGCATACAAAATGCATTGTTATTTAATTTATTTAAATAATATATTAGAGAATCAGTAAAATTAAGTTTTAATCAGTAAAAATAATTTTAGCCTGGTAAAAATACTTTCAGTTCAATGAAAATAATTTAAGTTTAATAAAAATAATTTTAAGGCAATAATAACATAGATATTTATTTAGAAACAAAACTACAAAAAGTACACTATTATATAAATATAACCATATGATATCGTATGTCTAAATATTCTACATTTATCGGAACGAATTATTTGACCGTATTTAACATTTAAGTAAAAATGTTATCTTAAAATTTTATCAACCATCTGGACATCGCCCTGGCACAAAACTAGTAAAATAAGATCCATTTATAATATAGTTAATTTATTTACAAAACTAATAGAGAATTAGTGAAAATAAGTTTTAATCATGAAAAAGAATTTTTGTTTTGGTAAAAATACTTTTAGTTCAGTGAAAATAATTTCAGTTCAGTAAAATATATTTCAATTCAGTATGTCTAAATATCTTGCATTATCAAAAGGGAGTATATGATCGTATTTAACATTCAATCCAAAAAAGTTTATCCTAAACTTTTATCAAAATGAGATCCATTTATATCAAGTTATTTTATTTAAAATTAGAAATAATTTAAGTGCAATAAAAAAATTTCAAGTTAATAATAACATAGATATTTATTTACAAATAAAATTACAAAAAGTACACTGTTATATAAATAAGCGATATGATATCGTATGTCTAAACATTTTACATTATCAAAAGGGGTTATATGATTGTATTTAACATTCAAGCTAAAAAGTTTAGGACAATCCGGGCATCGCCCGAGCAAAAAACTAGTAACTAATATATAAAGCTAAACTTTTAACTAGGGCACGAGACAACGACACTGGCCTTTTAACTTTTTGCCAAGTATCAGGTTATGTAGTAACAAATAAGAATTAGTGTGACACGAATGATACTAAGTCAGCAAAAATATTTCATATGTATAAAATAAATATAACTTTCAAAAAATAATATGTTATAAATTGTTATCAAACGATCCTAAAATTACTAATTCTGGTATTTTATTTATTACATAACTTATATTTTTACAATTATAATTAATAATTCATGCATAGTAGATTGAAATTATACTTTTTTTGTGTTTTAATACTTGCAAGTTGCAACACACACTTTTTTACGGTATATAAGAAAAATGGGTATCACATGATTACTACACTTACAATGGTGATGATATATTGTTAAGAGTTTAATTAATTGGAGCATAACCTTTAAATAAAGGTGATAGTACAACTTTTAATCAAGAAAAATGTTTATCTTAACATTTAATAAACAACCCGGACATAATAAACAACCCGGACATTGCACGGGGCACTAAACTAATATAATACTTATGTTGTTCAATCAATCATTCCTATCGAAATTGTGAATTATTATTCTCCTTGTCCTCACTAGTGAATTTTTACAAGACTTAAAGAGTGTTTGTAATCCCGCACTTTTGTTTTAAGAGTGTTTGTAATCCCGCACTTTGTTCTCCAGAAACAAATAATCTAGACTTTTCTTTTCTTGCTTCACCTACAAGGCTTACATGCTTACTATGACTCGAACCCAAAATCCACCCTTCAAAAATCAAAATAGATAGCTCTGGACATTTTTCTAACTTCAGAAGGAAATGAAGTCCACTTTTTAACAAGAAACAAGTATGAATTTCAATGTAATGCTAAATATTATTAGAGTTTGAATACATTTTGTATTGAATAGCAAAGTAAGTATTTACAACTATATATAGAGAAAGCAAATAACCTATCAAAGGAAACTAAGGCCACTGTATAATCAAGGATTATGCCTACAATTGTGGCTAAAAATCATTATCTACCAAAAATATAATTGACCATAAGAAAGGTGCTAAATATAAGAGCTACAAATAAGGAAAGAGGATAACCACTAGCTATAAACAAGGAGATTTGATTATCTCTTAACAAATATATCAATAATGTGCACCGCGTATTTATAACATATTTGACCTTAGATGATGGTTTTGCCAGGTACATTAGTTTTCATTAATGACATTTTCGTAAATAAACCAATAACTTTATTCAACTTTATTCAATTGTAGAGCCTACAATAATGAAAAAGTTGTTGATTTATTCACGAAAATGCCCCCATGAGAAATAAATTTCATTTCTCAATATGAGAAACAGGGAATTTCCCTATAAACTTGCAATACTCAATTCTTACTAAGAACTGACTTTAGAACTTGTCAGTCATTTAAGTAAATCTTAGTTAAGACGATTTCACATTAACTTATTGTGAACATCAAATATATATCAGAATATCGATCTGTGAAACTTACTAATGTAAAACGGGTAACTAGGTTGGTAAGTACTAATTTGTCACAAGAGATGTAAATTTTATGCCAAATTGTGCACTGAAAGATAGAGATGATAGTTTTATGTAGTTAGTTATGATCAAATGACCTGAGCATGTGTTGGGACTTTTATGTACACTAAAGTTTTATTTTATACTTTGTTATCATAATCCAAGAGCAGAGTTATTGCTAGGTAGTTTTCCTTCCACTTCAATAATGTATATGACCAATATAGGATTGTGCATGTTTAATTTGGCTGACAACATTTTCTTCATATAAACATCTTCTTTAGCTATTTTTGTTGCTTGTTATGATCAATATACTGTCTCTAACATGGCTCACACTGATACTGCTTGTCCACAGTCGTCGATGCAGGCAACCTCCACGAGAGTCTTCCAAGGAGAGAATCCTCTTGATTACACCGGCAGTACATTGAAACTTTGTAATGCTCATTGAAACTTTGTAATGAGTTTCAATGCACTACAAAATAACTCATTGAAACTCGTTCATATAGATTAATGCTCTCCTTGAATGAGGTTCTACAGAAATACCAAATAATCACTACAAAGTTTTAATGAGTTACTTAATACAAATTAAAAGATTTGACATGTACGTTTTCAACTTAAAAAAAAAAAATTACTACGTATATTAGGTGTAATGGTATGAAATATTTTAAAAAAAATAATAAAGAATAATTTTTGTAATTTAATTGAATAAAACAAATGTAATAATATTTTAAGGAATATGAAATTTAATTTATAATATACTCTTTTTATGTACTACGTATTAGGTTGAAAAGATACAATCAACTGTTTAATATTCTTTGTTATAGGCCTGCTTGGCTTTGCTCAAAATCAAATACGTCGTAATTTTGTTTGGACATTGATTATAAAAAATTGGATGAAATTGATTTGGAGAACAAAAGCATAGGATTTTTTTTTTTTTTTGACAACGGTCCAAAAAGGAGATTAGCTCCCAATTGACTCAATACAACGACCTCTTAATCAAACTAATACAACAACTAAAAAGGGGGTTGGGGTTACAAACTCTATGAACTGCTTGGCAATACAAATAAGGGGATTGCGGGTATCCATCGCTAGAACTAGCCTTAGGCTACTCCAAACTTGTTCCTTTGCATTTCTTGATCCTGCAAAACCAAGTAAAATACATTTTATTTTTCTTGTTGTTCACCCTTGACCTGATTAGCCTTCTATTTTTTCTTGACGACTTGACGTGGCAGAGAACATGAAGGTGGTGAGTTGTGGAGAGGACTGCACATGATCGGGTTTAACAGTCATGGGGTCTTCGTCATTAGCGCCTACTGATTCCACTGCATCGAAATTAGTGGTAGTTAAATCTCTCGCAGGTAACTCATTCCCCTCTTCGACATTCAAACCCTTATTGCTGCTATAAGTTAGGTTAGTGGGTAAATGATCATCTAACTTCTCCACGGAAGCACTGTTGGGTTTGGGAAGTCCAACAACGTGGATGACCAAGGTGGAGTCCAAGGTTCCCTTGATCTTTTCCTTTTGGCCCTTTCTGTTGCGACACCTCTTTTTTGGACCCACCATCCTAGTGGGCGGTCGTGAGGACTCAGGTTCTTTGGATTCCTTTTCCTTATGGGGTTCTGAGAGCCCATCATAGGTGGTCTTTTCCTTCACTCATACAGTCATCCATGATACAACAGAATGTTTGCAGAAACTCAAGGTTTTCCCTTAATAGAGATCCGAATAAGACAAATCGGAAATCTTAAGGGACTGATTACTTCTTGAACCGCTGGAACATATGAAATTTCCTCAGCCCCTTGTCCTTAGCACATCCGAAATCCTGGTTGTTTGGAAAACTAGCAGCATCATCCTCATCCTTTTCCAAAGAGGTAAGAACATTAGATGTAGTGATAAGGCTCTCTACCATCATCTCATTGGCAGCATCCATGGTGGATAATGCCGTAATATCACTCTTACTAGGAAACCCAATAGATTCTAGGTTGACAGAGGGATTATTGCTGATCTTCCCCTTTTTGTTGAAGATGTGTGGGACAAGTCGGACTCCTTAGTGCCCCTCTTTCCTTTGATCTTACTAGCTTTTCTTCTCAACCCCCCCCACCTTCTCCATTTCGCAACGGATGTCCTAATTTTTAGGCTCGGTCTTAGCTGTTTTGCCAATATCTTCATGGGCCTCTCCGAGTTGATAAAACTTGATTTCGGCTAAAGCCCTTCTGTAAAGGGCTTTAGTATTGTTACCATCAAGCATAATGACTAATGAGCAGAGCTCTAGTTTGTTCGAAATCACGAACTTTCATGGCGCAAGCTACAAGATTTAACTCAAGCGATATGGCAAGTTTCCATGGAAAGACACATTCATCTTCATTTGTCGGCAGACAAAAGCGTCGAAGTTTTAACCCTCTGTCATACTTAGCCCCAGCAAGAACGACTTCACCTTTCTTGAAATAAGAATTACCCTCCTCTTTCAAGTCTTTTGCTTGAATAAGCATGTTCCGGGGGCAATTATTTTTGGCAAAGTTGACAATGGTTTCGTCATAATCATCGTTTAAGTGGATGTGTGTTAGGGCATGAAGTAATAAGTGGCGGTCCATGCTAGTAAAATTGAAAAGGAAAAAGAGAAAGACAAAAACTTCACAGCAGAAATGGCAACAAGAAGAACAGCAAATAGAGAACAAAAAAGATTAAGGGAAGGAAAAACGGCGACCAACCCAGAACCAAGACTGCAAGCCAGCGGTGGCAGCGGTAATCGGCGTACTTTGGGCTCCCTCATAAATTGAAGGACCGACATGTCCCACAGAGCAACGATAGGGGAAAAGCTAGCCACAGTGGATCGACCGTCAATCAAGTAGCCGGCACCAGAATGGCGCTTCCTCGATCTAGTGACGAAGGCGACGGTTGTGGTCTCCACAAGGTAAAGCCTGCAGAAATGAAGGCCTCCTCGCGAACAGTCAATGCCGACGCCGCGAAACGGTCAGATCTGAGTAGCAATGGACTCGCCGGCGATCGAGAGGGAAAGCGGCCTATTCAGATCGCCAGCGGCCCGCCAGAGAACGGTAGAGGAAGCTGGCAATAGAAAACTAGGAGCTTGAACGCAGTTTTCTTTTTGGTGCTTTGTTCTCTCGCGCGTGAGGCAAAGACGAGGCCAATAATGTGGAACTGTACTTTTTATTTGATGAACTTGTGACCGTACACAACTCTTCCGTTTTTGTCTCTAGGCTAGGAATGTCAGTGGGGCGGGTCAAATAGGAGACCCGCCCCAACGGAGCGGGGATGGGTCTTGGTTTGGCAGGTGATGGGGCGGGGTGGATTTTAGGTTGTACCCGCCCCATCCCCGCCCCGCCCCACCCGCCCCACTTCATACCCGCTCCATCCCCGCCTACCCCACTTCGTACCCGCCCCATCCCCGCCTACCCCACTTCGTACCCGCCCCATCCCCACATTCATATATTTTTAAAAACAAAATTATATACTTTTATACTATTTTATAAAAAAAATTATGTAAAATAAAATAGTAAATATAATACTTTGTAATACACTTATATTATAAACAAAAAAATGTGTAATATTAATACTAATTTTTTTCTTTTTGCAATCTTTATTAATTATGAAGGATTGTGCATTTGGGAGGCGGGGATTAGACGGGTCTTAGGTGGGGGTGGATATCCAAGTGGGGGTTGGGGTGGGGATGGTTTTCGAATTGTACCCTCCGGGGCGGGGATGGGGATGAATTTTAGACCCGCCGCGGGGATGGGGATGGGGATGAAAATTTTAGATGGAGATGGGGATGGGAAGGCCAACATCCGCCCCGCCCCGCCCCATTGACATCCCTACTCTAGGCTAGACCTCGTTGAGTCATTGTATAGTGGTGTTCAAAACTTGATTTGAATTAGAAATATGGATCAAACCAGATCGAAATCAATCTCTAGCATAAAATATTTGATATACTACAATAACATGATTAATAATTTACAGATTTTTTAAAATTATTTGTGTAATAATGTTGCAAATATATACATGAAAGCACTGACATTAATTGCAAAGGTCCCTAAAACTATTGCTTAAGCTACTACAAAGTCCCTCAACTATGGTGACTAAGCATCAAGGTCTCCCTGCTATGCTAACTAACCTCAGGTCCCTAAACTACTTGGCCAAAAAGTACCCCTAATGGTGGTTGAGTGACCAATTTGTCACACTTTAAAGTCGATAGACTAATACAAATACGAGTACTAAAGTTTAGGTACCGTATGAAATCTTTACTCACTGGCAATCAATTCGGGTCAAAGAGTTAGGTTCGAGTTAGATTTTGGGTCGTTTAGTTCGAGTAGTTTGGATTGTTTGGACATTGGATCATCATCAAATATGATATATGGATCAAATTGGGTCAATTTCGAATCATTTGGATTGGGTCGGGTTAGGAATTGACTGTTCTACACTAAAGTGATCGTATCGGACTATCGGTATAGTATATATCCACATACGGAGTAGAATACAAATCCATAAAAAGCGCAGTTTCCAGAAAACCCAAACATTTCCCGGTTTTCATCTCTCTCTCTCTAATCAAACAGTGTTTGTCTCTTTCATCACTCATTCATCCTCACTCTCTTTCCCCCTTTACTTTCAAACCTAAAATTCAATTCAATTCAATTCAAAGCCCTAATTTAATTTCCCTTCACTTTTTCAATCAAACCCCCAAAACTATAATCCCTAAGATTTTGGAGGGAAAAATGGCGTCATCTAAGGTGATGCCTTCTACCTCCAATTCTACAAATTCGGATCTCAATTCTCATCATCATCATCACCATAATCATCACCATTTTCATCGAAATCGTTCTTCTTCGCCTTCTCAAATGATCCCTGATTTTTCCAATTCCGATCTTCAACATCGGATTAATGAAGTTTATGCTCCTGATAATCCGCCGGAAGCGGCGTTGCTTGATGCTGAGATTGCGTTGATTGATGCGGCGGGTGCGATTTCGGCGATTGGTTCTACTGCGGAGGAGGCGGCGGTGGTAGGGCGGCAGCAGGGGAGTGAGCGGAAGACGGTGGAGGAGGTTTGGAGAGAGATTGTGTCAGGGAAAAACGAGAGGAAGGAGTGTAAGGTTGAGGCAGTGGATGAGATGATGACTTTGGAAGATTTCCTGGCGAAAGCCGGGGCCGGGATGGAGGAAGAAGAGGTTGCGGCCGTGGCGGGGGTGGAGGAGGAGGATGTTAAGGTTGGGGTGTCTGAGGAGATGAAGATGGGTAGTGGTGGGTTGTTTGATTTTGATCATTCGTTGGTTCAGAGTTCTTATTTGCCGCCGCAGCAGCCGGGGCCAATACCGGTTTCGATGTGTGGCGTGATGGCGTATGGGAATGGTGGTGGTGGTGTTGGAGGAGGTGGGATGGAGGTGATGGGAGGAGTGAGAGGGAAGAGAAGAGGTGGCCCAATAATGGAACCTTTAGATAAGGCTGCTCAACAGAGGCAAAGGAGGATGATCAAGAATAGGGAGTCTGCTGCCAGGTCTAGGGAGCGTAAGCAGGTATAATTTTCTGTATTTTTGGTAATGTTATTAATTTATTTTTCCTGATTTTTGATGAAAATTGAGAATTAATTGAACATATATATTTGAATTATGGAATTGGGTATGTACTCGGTACTATATAGGAATCTAAACTATATTTGGGTGACAAATATGCATGCTATGTTAGACCAATAAATTTATGCCCGAAATTGTGTCATGAGAATTTCTACTTAGGTGGGTAGAGTGTTAATTTAATTCATGGTATGCTTTGGTACACAGAATGAGTATGGGAATACAATTCTCGATACGTGATTTTGTTGTATTAGTTCAAGAAAGAGATCCATTGTTTTAAATTGTAGTCCGCGGGGATTTAGGGAATTAGGTAACATTGGGTATTCCAACATATGAAGAATCAAGTATGTAGTGTAGAGATAGTGTGAGTTGATTCTTTTGTTATTGCCATGTAGGCTTATCAAGTTGAATTGGAATCATTGGCTATGAAGTTGGAGGAGGAGAATGAACAGCTATTGAGAGAAAAGGTAGGATCTCGAAATTAAGCTTTTGTTGCTTGACATTTTACGTTTGTACTAATTTTCGTTCAAGGTGTCATGGTTTTGTTTAAATCAAAGCTTAAGTTGCTTAGCCATTCAGTAGTTAATCTAGACTCTAGAGATATTCTTGTATAACTTTTGGTATGCTTTTCTATATACCTGTAACGGTTATACTTAGTATCTTAATTATATGCTCCCTTTGTCCGTGAAAGGAGGACATGTCTAAGTAATTAATTTGGTATGATTTGGCTGGTTGCTGTTGATCTATCACTTGGTACTAGAAAGGTGGGCTGTAACAAATGTAGTTTCCGATGCTTAGTATCTGATGTAGTTTGTGATACTCAGTATCAAATGTATAAAGTGATACATCAAAATTTTTAAGGACATATCTAAGTATCAGACTCTGTAATTGAATTCCAAAAGTTGTGGTTTGTCCTCCACTAGTTGTCAAATGCTTTCATAAGATATCAGTAAATGCTTCTTGATGTCAAGTTGCTAATTGCATCTCTATCTTTAATAATAGGCCTCATCTGAACTTGGTAAATGGTAATGCTGATGGTGAGTTAACATTTCTAAATTTATTTTAAGAAGTATGTGAGTGAGATTTTCATTTTGTAATTTATTTATTTATTATGATATAGTGATAGAATTATCTGACCTTTTGAAAAATTGTAGCTTGCCAGTATGAGATATTGAGATGGAGTAGCAAATAGTAGCATGTGAGGAATCTGAGATAAGTGGTCTGAATTGGAAATTATGGTGAGAGAGTGCATAACAAGTTGACCACCTTTGGTAATTCTTATATGATCATGTGGGATCTTGTATAGCGAATTGGTGTTTTGTTCACTTTTTGGAACTATTACTTTTTTTTAATTTGTTTCAAAAGCTCTACTGGGAGTTGTATTACGAAGTAGATTTTTGTCTGTTTGTTTTATTTTTATTTCCTTTTGAAAGCTCTACTAGAAGTTGCATTGAATATATTTCATTACAGATTATTACTATTACAAATTAGATTTTTGCCTGTCGATTATATTTATTTCTTTTTGAAAGCTCTACTTAGACGTTGGATTGAATACATGTCATTGCAGAATATGACGAAGTAGACTTTTTCCTGTCGATATAAATTGACAATTAGTTGGCTTTGAATTCATCCATGATTCTATGATGTCAATCCATAACAGTTTGATAATAGGCCTTCCCAACTAAACCTAATCAGCAATGTACTGGGATAGTGGCATTTGAGTTATTCTAGCTTTTTGTTTTGTTATGGTCTGAGCCTGTTATGCCTGAAAGCATTTTAAACAGCTTAGAATGGGTAAAACCATTTTTTTCCCCGGAGAATATGACTCCTATTACATGGTCATGTATCTTTGTATTTTTGATGCGCTTTACAATCATATAGTATACAAGTCTTTGCATATCTTTGTTATCTGTTTGGCATTAAGTACAGGAATTGTTGAGAAAGGCATTACCTTATTAAGCACCCCTGCTTCCTTTTTCCCTCTTTCCCTTCAAAGAATCTGGGTTGGCTTTTATTGATGTTTTTTGTCAAATTATCCTAGAACTTGACATTGATACACTCTCTGTTCTTATTTGCTCTACCCACTTTCTTATCTCATCTTTTTAAGTTTTACGGAGTACCCACTTTTGTAAGAAAATTTTGTTCTTTTTTGCCCTCCCTTGGTCCATTCATGGGATGTAATTAACCATTTAATGATGTCTTGGTCTTTCACTCTTTTCTGAAATATTGTAATACCCCACAAGGGTGGTACCTCTCTCTCATTCTCCTTGGTCTTTGTATCTATAGTAATTGGGTAAAACAAAAAATATTAGAGGTTGTTTGTTAGAAATAGCCTTCAATGTTCTGAGGTGCATGCATATGATGCTTTAGTGCATTACCTTATGAAGTAATTTTTGCTTCCCTTTTCTCCTTTTGTGTTTTGTTACTATTTATATCTTGTCTAGAGTAGCTACACAAGAACCTGACATTTATATTTTGTGAACTGACATTTATCGTTTAGAGTTGCATGATTATAGTATCCTATTAGGTGTGCTGTAATTCATGGATCCCCATATGGTGAATGTCAAGATTGTCAACATGATCCAAAACAACATCCTGGCAATCGGCCCTGGTTGTGTTTTTTCGTAACTTAATATCTAATACTGTACCTGTATGCCCTATGGTTTATGGGATTGTGTTTAGACATTTCTGCCTTGTTACTCCCTCCGTCCCAATTCACTTGCTATGTTTTTCTATTTGGGGTATTCCTTTTTAATTGTTCCATTTCCATGTAAAATAATTATCTCTTAAATCTTTCTCTTGACTTGAGTCTCCCACTCTCCTACCTATTTTTTTCTCTTTACTTTTCATTTGCATATAATGTGCAAATGGCCATGGAGCTAGTAAATTGGGATGGAGGGAATAATTTCTTGTCTTGAAGTGGAAAGAAAGTGTAAATTGCATTATGCTCTTCTAAGCTTGTTATGTGATTATATATCTCGGGGGTTGGGGAAGGTGAGGACTGAGGGTTGCTTCACCCCCGTCTTCTGTAATAAATGACAGCAATTGATAACTATTTTTGTCTCCATATCATGCTCTTCTGCTTGCTACACTTTTCTGTGAAATTTGAGAAAAATTATATCTTTCAATATCACCCAAAAACTAATCAACATAATATACTCCCTCCGTCCATTTTAGTTAGCAAGCCCGCCTCTTTTGGCTGACCAAATTTTATTGCGCACATGCTTTTTCAGTTAAAAGTTCTCTTATGAACTTTCTCTCCAACCCTGCACTTTCTCCTACGTAGGCTACATTTTCTTTCTCCAATCCCACACTTACTCTTGCTATCCACTTTTCTTCATTTTGTGCCAAAGGCAAGTATAACGAATATTGTACAGGCAAAGAGAGTATGTATTATTGGAATGGACATTGTAGTTAAGGATTTTTTATTTTAATTATTATATTTTTTATTTTGAGTGTGGATTAGAGACCTTTTAGATCTTCACAATTTCAAGAAAAGTAACATGACCATGATATATACTAAGATTGTAATAGTGACTTTTGGGATGTATGAAATACCATTTTTTGCATCTAATGATGGGTTTTTTTTTTTTTTTTTTTTTTTTTTTTTTTTTTTTTTTTTTTTTAATTGTCATGCAGGCAGAGCGGAAAAATGAAAGGTTGAAGCAGGTAATTATTCTAATGTAAATTTTTCAATATGAATGAAAATCCAATCTATTTGATGGACTTCACTTGAGAATGTAATACTACATTTGCTTCTTTTTATTTGCAACAAAGGGGTATTTAATGCGAGACATAAAAAACATTTGTTGCAAATAAAAGAAGCGGGGGTAGTATTAGAATTTTATATTACTATGTGTCTATGTGTCATTTAACTGTTATTGCAAGATCTGAAATATATATAATGATGACTAATGCTGTAAAATTTGAAAATCTGGTACTTGCACATTGAAAATTGACAGATTTAAAATAAAGACATTTTGGATGATTATAGTTACCTGGCAAGTTGAAATAGTCTATCTATTTGTTTAGGCTAGTAATTAGTGAGTAGAAAGATTGCGTTTATTAATGTCCACAGAGTCAGACTATGCCGTCTGCTGGATCTGGTGATTCAAGATTTTGCTGTTAGCTATAGACTTGAGAGTCAATTTTTTGTGCTTAGCAATTTGGTTGGTAATAGTGCATGTGGATCTTTATAGATCTTTATGAAATTAGTTTTTGTCTATTCACCTTTGACGAGTACAACAGTTATTTATGAAAATATCTAGAATTTACTATGAAGAAGCTGTTAAGAAGGCCAAAACCTTTCCTGTTTTGCATTCTTTTTATATTGATTAGCTAAATATGCAGCAATTCCCTTTTTGCAATGTAGTAAGCAATAAGTTGAGTGCTAGCTAGCACGACTCACTGAATAATTTTGTGGTTCAGATTGTTGATTATTAGATCTATTTTTGATTAATAATGGTTGTAATAAATGTCTAGAAAGGCATCTATAAATTTTGGCAACTTGTTAGGCAATTGAGTAGCGATATAGATTGGAGAGTGGGTGATGATATTTAACTGACTGTAGCTTCAAAAAATATTTGACAATAATTACTGGCCCTTCTGTTTTTGGATGAATGTAGCTTAAAAGACTTGAATTGAATGATGCAATAATGAACCGATGGAATACCAAGGCTCATGTTGTATAAAATTTATTAGTCATAGGACTCTTAAATGAAATTGTTTGGAAATGAAGATTTACCTATAAATAGTTATTTTTCTCTATCTGATGTGTGTTTTGGGGAGAGGGAGGTGGTTCAGACTTCAGATAGTTGGATGAACTAGTGGTTTTTCAGATACTGTGCACAGGTTAAAGGTTTGACCTTCAAGAAATAGTATACTGAGTGACGTTAAAAGGAAAAAGAAAAAAAATGAAATCTAAATACTAGTATTTTAGTTGGCCATGTGCATACCATAGCATACCTGCTTGTGTTCACTGAGCTCCCTCTTAAGCTGTTTGCCATTGTTATTCTTTCATTTTCAACCTTATGCTTGTTTGGCATGTGCAGCACAAGGAATATGTTACTCAAGTGTCCAAAAAAGACCAACATTAGATTGTTACTGTTCAGACTATTTGATTAAAAAAAGGAAAGATTTTTACTTGTTCTGTTCTATAAGAAACCATAGATCTTTTTCTGGCGTGAGTCTAAATTGGTCACTATTGAGACGTCTACCTCTTCTATTCTATTGCTATATTCTGCCTTGGGAGTTACCTGATCAATGGGTGTTAGATCAGGTAACCAGATAAGCTTTTTGTTCTGGGTATGTATGTGAGCTGCACTCACCAACGACATTATTCATATGATTTCTATATTGAGTCTGAAACTTTTGTGTTTGTTTTGCTTTGAAAGAATTCAAACTTGTTGATCATTTGCAAGTTTATTTGACGAGCGCTGTATCCCCACCTCGACTCCTACCTCCTTGTGATGTCATCCATGCATTCTCCCATCTTGCTTGAGTCATTGTAGGTGGAAGTAACTTCTAATGGTTTTATTTATGGATAAGTTGATTTCAACCATCATTGTAATCATAATTTGAGCATACTTTTCAATAGCTCTTATGCATTTGAATTTTACATCAATCTCCTATTTCTTTTACTACAATGTTGGGGTCATTTCTTATTCCTTTTTGTGTCTTTTTCGGTTAGAAAGGAGAGGGGACTCACTTCTGTGTTATGTTTTTTCCCCTCTCTAGAGCAGCTCATTAGCATACAGTAAAAATTTTGTTGTTGCTCTGCTCATTGTAATGTTAAATTACTTTGAACTTCTAGATTATTTTAGGATGTCCAAGTCTATCTACATGCGGAGGTGAAAGTGGGCAGTAGTGTTTTTCACTTCATATTATTTGCCTGTGTAATTTGAGACTCTGTTTTCTGATATCTGACTTTAATCTCCTTTGCAGCTCATGGAAAAAGTAGTCCCAGTTGTGGAGAAGAAAAAGCCACCACGTGTTTTGAGGAGAGTTCGTTCAATGCAATGGTAGTCCCTTGGAATGAATGCTGTACTTCGTATTTGATTGGCGAGCAATCTCATCAATGAAGTCTTGTTTGTGAGTGAGAGCATATCTTACATCAATTGCAATGCACTGCTATTCTTGACATGCGGATGGATAGAAAATCCCTCTGGAATACAAGTCGTTGCTTGTAGATGCACAAGGTCGCTTAGCTAGATGCTCTCCCAATACAAGCACCCCTGGTTCTTGTGCAAGGGGAAACATCTAACCTGACTGTTACTATTAGTTACTCCTAATAGAATATAAATCAGCAAATATAATTTCGTTTGTGGTTGGCTGCTCTTAGCTGAATCATCTTAGTGTAGTTAGTAAAAGCATCTGTAAATTTTGGGTGGTAATTATGTGCAGAAGATTCCAAATATCTGAAAATCGCGAGTTTCCAAACATCAGCAATAAGATTCATGTTGTGTTCTATTGGAAATCATAAAATACCATTATTACGAAGATAGGTTGATGGTATGTGACTGCATTTGGGACTTGATGATCCTCGAATAAGGAGATTGAAGACAACCATGACTGAATATGGTCTTTAAGAAGGTTAAAGTTGATCATCAACATATTGAAAGCGGTTCTTTATATAGGAAGCAGTTCCTTATAATCCTCACATACCACAATAGCGGCGATGATAGAGTCATAGAGGGTTGCAATAGTTGCCGAGTACAATTTGTGCTAAGGTCTAATACTAGATATACAGGGAATTTTTGTATACTGTATATATATTTTTTTAAAATAAGTTAAGAAAAAGAGGAAACATTAGGAAACCCTCTGCATGAGGAGAATTCCTAATGCGTTTGAAGAGAGGATAGGAATTAAAGAAGAGTTGTTACAAAGACTTGTCCATACTACCAACAACTAAATGACCCACATTAGCAACCCAGTTTGCCGCTCTATTTGCTTCTCGAAAAATATGTCGAATGTTCCAGATGTCGAATTTGCTAAGAAGATAGCCTATGTCTGTAATGATATGTCCGATCTGTCATGGAATTGACCAAGTACCTATAGCTGAGTTGATGACTAGCAAATTATCACCTTCGATGTGAATGTTCTTGATTCCTTTTTCAAGAGCTAGAAGAATGCCTTTGTGAAGTGAAGTAGCTTCTGCTATGAAAACCTTGTTATGGTCGAGATTGAAAGTGCGCGCTCTAATAATTGTCCTAGTGCTGTCTCTGATGACGTTATAGAGTTGTTGAGAACTGAACCGTTGAAGTTGAGTTTGAATGAATTGGTGGGTGGTGCCTCTAGGCAACCATGATGGAGGATGGGGATGTATGATGAAGGAGGGTGGAATGGGATCTCTGGATACGAGACCTCGAGGGAATATAGGTATCGGTAAGAATTGTATAATGCCACTCATTGAATGCAAAAAGCGCTTGGTGGTATGTAATAAAGGTAAATGAAGCTCCTAATTCTTGTATAGTATATTGAACTATACATCATATTTTATAACAGTAATTAAAAATTAATTTAGCATAATCACGGAGACTTGGGTTAAATACTTAAATGGGTCGGGTATTGAGCTGTATTCCTGTACATGATGACTAATTTAAAAAAAATTTACATGACTACATATGTTTTATACTTCGTATATTGGTAAAAAAATACTTCGTGTAATCAAAGTAAGTATATACTCGTAGTTAAATTGTTGTATTTATTAAGAAACAGAGGTTCGGAGAAATAGTGGGTAAAGACGTAAAATGAAAGAGGACTAAAAACAAAATGAGGGCATAATTGTAATTCTTTGGGGTGGTTGGATGTAAATGTACTCTTTCCGTTTCAAAATAAATGCTCAATTTGACTGTTTGCATTATTTACATGAACCACTTTGACCAACATTAATGAGTTTTTTCCTTCGTATTTATCGAAACAACTTAAATTGAAACTTATAACAATTGAATATTAAAAAACTGCTTATTGAAACGATTCTTATGAGATTTAGGTTTTGATTGATTGATTGATATTGAAATGATTCGAACAAAACCCATAAGGCTATTTTTTTCTTAGTATATATTACTAACATTTGTCAAAGTAGATTAGGTGAGTAGTACAAAAAGTCAAAATATTTCACTTAAGAAATTGTGGAGGAAGTAATGATTAAGAAATTATATAATCTTGTAAGTACTTTTTAAAATCGTTACAATGTATATTTTTTGAATATCAACTTTTTATAATTTATAATTATTGATGATTAAAGAAAATTATCATTAGTTAAAGTATTGGCATAATACTTAATTTAATTGGGACATTTATTTTGAAACTAAGTAAGCACATTGTTTTGTTTTTGTTTTTGTTTAATTCATTCATTGTCAACACGAAACTTGAATAACAAGCAAGAAATAACAATTTTTTTTTAAAATCAAATTATTGAATTCTTAGAATGCAAATCTGTTTCTATGATTACCATTTCCCATTGGATGAATCCTACCAAAGGCGTTGACGATTCAACGCCCAAATTTGTTTTTAGTGAAATAATAAAATTGACTAATTAACCAAGTTGGCAAATGAAAAATCATGATGGACTGCATGAATAACGGAGTAGTATGTGTCACCTTTTTTTTTTTTTTTTTTTTTTTTTTTTTTTTGATTCTACTCCTTTATCATATCATATATTCATATCATAAGGTTCAAACCTTAATTTGTTTCTTAATATTTTTGTTGTCCAATTCGCATGAATAGAATACATGTGACATGCTTAATGGTAGTAATTTTAGTTAAAAAGATTCGAAATTTGACACCTATATATTCGTTGTTGCCAACCTGGCTGGTCCTAGTGTGCAAATTTCTTTCCAACTTCGAAACTTTTGGTCTTTTTTTTTTTTAATTTCATGATTTTCTGCTCAAAAGTCCCAACTTTTCAATTTTAATTTTTTTGAAAAGGGGGAAAAAGAAGAGATTTTTTTAGTTTTAGGGCTAATTTGTGTCTTAAATCTTGTGTATTAGTCAAGTTCGAATCTTTAATCTTTCTGGGTATTGCCATTTTGTTAAAAAGTTACAGCTTTTGGTATTTTCTTATTCAAAATTAAGCAAATTTGTGGGATTAAAGTTTGAATCTTGTACTGCTAAAAAAAAAGTTTGAATCTTGAACTGGGTATAGGGTAATGCCCAGGAATTAGGATGGGTGTAAATTCAAGTGATAATTTGGTGAAATTTTTTGAAGAAATTGACAATGTGGCAGAGGAATGGGACCAGAAGGTTTTTCTGAAGCAGTCATCTCGTTATAACGGTTCTTCCAATAGCATTTTAACCGAAGGTATGCAGTTTTCTGCTATTTATTTATGTCTAATTTAGTTATTTTATGTATAGGGAGCCACGAAGTTACACCCTGAACGAGACTTTAACCAACTAAAATAGTTTGACAGTTATTTTTATGGTGCATTTATACTAGTGAAGGGGTTGGACAATGCTTACTTTTTAATTTTTACATTTGTTGTTTGCTTTTGAGCTTATGTGCACCTGAGTGGCTGAGTTGTATGTATTGCTTTAGCTTTAGTGACTAATAATTCAGTCATTTGTGGATTACCAACTAGTTTTCTGACCCTAAAAGAAAGGATATAATTGAATTTATGAGGGGCAAGAATTTTGGTGCAATGCTAATTTGCAGGAGTGTTGAGATCTATGCCTTTGCCTGTTTTTAAACACTGAGGCAAAATGAATTATGTTAGAACAAGCACATTTAGGACAAATCTCAATAATATTATCGAATCATAAAATTTGAGGGCTTATGTCGTCGTAAACATCATGTAGAGGAAGGCAAAACATAGGGGCATTAGACCCTATAAAAGTCTTATTTACAACAGCCAGGCCAACAAAACTAAAAACGATGGGCTAAGATCATTTACAGCAGAAGTGAGATGGCAATCATGTCATCATAGAGTAATGCAGATGAATGTACTGTTGTACACCCTGTGCAACTTTTGTTTTATGTTGCTCCACAAGGATTTTGGTAGTCTGCAAGAGTGCATGAAGAGTTTGTGCTCGGCCTATAAGACTATAACTAGAGATTGTGGATGCTGAGATGCTCACACTTCACATTGAAAGTAGATAGTAATGATCCTGGCCACAAACCATAATTGCTGGTAATACATTTAGTTAAAAAGCTCAAAATAATGGCAGAGATGTGATTGCATCATAACTTTTTCTTGCCTATAATTCTTTTGCTAGTAACCAGTTAATGCAAGTTGTTATCCATGAAATGTCCAGTTAATGCAAGTTGTTATCCATGAAATGATTTTGTGTAACAAATTGACAAGCATATTGCTTAATCTATCACTATTTGGCTAAGTGGCGTACCCTGTAGTTTCTAATGGTTATGTTCCATGTGCCAATGTCTGGAAAAACAATAGAAAGACAAATGCGTAAATTATTGTAACTCTTTTGAGAATGGCTGATTGGGGCTTACTTGCTCATTCAAGGCTTATAAACAATTAGATTATTTCAAAATTTCTCAGTGTAACCAATGTGACAAAAATAACATATTTTTACTGACTGAGCAGCGGAGGAGGATTTGACTAATGGTAATTCAGTAGTTTCAAAGCTGTCACAGCTTCTTTCTACTGAAAGTGCTTCTGCTGCTGTTGATGGCATCGATGCTGATCTGAGAAAATCTGTTCCAAGGTTAAAGATAGCTATGCTTGTTGTTGGCACACGAGGAGATGTTCAACCTTTTGTAGCTGTTGCCAAGAAACTTCAGGCATGTATATAAATTCTGTACTGTAGTCTGCTTGTCATTTGCTGTGCATATTCATATATTTCCAGAAATGGCCCCACTTATTCTTCACCAAGAATTTGGTTGGACTTTCAAAGTTTCAAGGCTTATATGTTGAATGATGGTTTAACATTTTAGTGGTAGATCATGATAAAGCTCTTTCAGCAGAGAAACGTGAAAAAATTATATATTTAAAAAAAAAAAAAAAAAAAAAAAGGAAGAAAGAAATGAAAAGAAACTTTAATGTCTAAATTCTAATGCTATATGCCTATATGTGCAGGATTTTGGTCATCATGTTCGTTTGGCAACTCATATAAATTTTAGTGACTTTGTCAAGTCAGCTGGTGTTGAGTTCTATCCTTTGGGTGGTGATCCGCGCATTCTAGCAGGATGTAAGAAGACTTCCATCTGTTCCTATAAGCTCCCATCCCACTTTTTAACTTTTTTTTTTTTAAAAAAAAAAAAAAAATTGCTTTCAGTACATCCATATACAATAATTTTGCTTGGATGAAAATTATTTTAGAATCTATGGAGACAGGAAGTTCCAATGTGATCAAATAACTTTGACAAGCACTCGTGTTCCTTACAATGCTTAATAACAAAATAAGCTCCTTGATGACATTGATGCTAGTGATGGTAGACTGATATTGATGCTAACTTGATTCAAAGCAAGAACTTTTAATTTGATGGATGACTTAGGCCTTAGCTATGGATATAATGATATAAATTCAACATTTTTTTTTTCACTCTTCAATTTGAAATAGCAAAAGTATTGTCGCTTTCGATAATATAAATATCGAACTTCACATTTTATTAATAATTTCTTCACAATGTAGTGCATGCATTTATAAATCCCATCAATGACTGAATTATAAGTTATTTGGCTACATTTGAATAATCAGATATGGCAAGAAATAAAGGGTTGCCCTCAGCAAAAGGAGAGTTAACAATTCAAAGGAAGCAATTGGAAGCTATTATGGAATCAATCCTACCTGCTTGTACAGAACCAGACATAAAGACTGGTGCACCGTTTAGAGCTCAAGCAATAATTGCTAACCCTCCTGCTTATGGTATGTTCATGATTCTTAATTGGAAAATCTTAACCTTTGCTGGAGCACATGATGAAATTTATCTTTGAATGTCTCAGCATTTTCTTGAATTATTCTTTTCTGTTATCCTTTTTGTTTCCATATAATTGCTCTGCCCCATATGTTATCTCACTTAGTAAATGAAAAGATTAGATAAAATCATTTATCGTTATTTATCCCACCATTTTTATCACATTTGTTCAATCATCAATTCACCATTGAGCTTTTTTACCATATCAAAAGCATCTTCTACTATTATCATTGTAAACTAGACAACTAATTTGGAATAATCTAAATTAGGAAAAATTGACAATTAAAATGAGGAGGGAGTATTGTTTTGGTTTGGGTCCTTTGAGTGTTGGAGTGATTTAATATTTTAATGTGCTCATGCCATAATATCTAATTTAAATGCCATAATTCCTACGGCTGTGTTGACTGGTCACTAGGATAGCAGAATGTAACTAACTAATGTCTTTAATCTTTATGGGACAACTGCACCTTTGTGGTGATTATGCCACAGAGCAAATTCATGTGTTATAAAAATGCATTATGAGAGAGTGAGCTTGGAGTTATGTAATTCTTCAATTTTCCTCCTCATATATTCCCTATTGTGTGCAACTGAGAATTGTGTTTTTTGGAGGGAGTGGGGTGTGTTTTGTCATTTATCTTTTTATGTATAACTTCTTGATTCACTGATGACATAGTACATTATAACTGCAGGACAATTACATGTTGCTGAAGCTCTAAATGTACCTCTACACATACTCTTCACGGTGCCATGGACGTAAGTTTTCTGACAAAGTGAAATATATTTTAACTAGATGATTTTCTTCTCTAGATCTTCCTTGTTTTAGAGTAGATTATATGTTGATTGAGGGTTATAATTTATCGAAGAGTGTGACTGCCAATGTCTAAAAACATTCTGGCAACTTTTTTGAGTTTTTAGACACTATTGTAAGGTCATTTTGGCACCTTAGTGAAGCAACTAAAGATTACAGTTAATAAAAAGGTGACTTAAGGATGCTGATTTTTTTTAGTTAAGAAGCGTGTTGAGGCATTGAAGTACAAGGCTCAGAAGACATTCACTTTGAATTGCTTAGAGCTTTTAAGGCGTACCTTTTTATATGCCTGTGTGATTAGAATTTTATTGTTAAACAGGAAGATATGATTCCTTTAAGATGTATTATTATGAAAAAGCAAGATTTTATTTATTTTATTTGTATTTGTATTTTTATTTTTAGCATTTCACCTTATGACTTTGAGGTCACATGTTTAAGTCTCACCTCCAACTTGTGTTTGGGAATGGGGGATTCCCCCCCCCCCCCCTCTCACTCTCAAGCGTTGTCGTATATAGTTGGGCTGGCTGTGAGAGGAGCCGTTTCAGTAGGGTCATATTGACTACTTCAGATGATTCAAAAAGCTATATATTTTCGTTGCTTACATTCTTAAAATGTCATTTGCTCATTCCCCCTCGATTTACCCTCCTAAAGGAAAAAAAAACTTGATTTTTTTTTTAGAAAGGAGATATCTATTATGTATAACAAGATAAGAAAAGAAAGTAGACTTAAATATGAGGGCACAATCTGAAAGCCAGAAGATCAAAAGGCCTTCAAATATGGTTTAGGTGATCTGAGCATTTGTAGTGGATTTGATCAAAACTTAATGACATGAATTATCTGTTGTGTTTAATTAAATTCCATACAAAGAGTATTGTTGCAGTATACGAAGAATATTTTCTTACAATTCTTTTGAATAGGCAGGCCAACTTATGAATTTCCCATCCCAATTGCTCATCTACCGCAAAGTCCTGGTAACCGGGTATGCTTCTGTCTCTCCTTAGTTTCCCCAGTACACCAGTAACATGGCTAGCTCACTGACCCCTTTACATTGTGAAACTGATGCAGTTGTCATATGTAATTGTTGATCTGATGATTTGGTGGCTGATAAGGGGTCACATAAATGACATCAGGAAGAGAAAGTTGAACCTTCCTCCCATTTCATACTTTAGCACATACTATGGATCTACATATCATTTGCCAACGACATACATGTGGAGTCGTCATGTCTTACCTAAACCAAAAGGTAGGAATTGAATATTTTTGATGATACAGTAGAACTGCTGTAACAATAAGCATGCTGAGACAATTCTGCTGTTGAAAATAAAGAATGCATGAAGTGTAATTTGTATCATTTCTTCAATCCTTTGTTTTATCCTATACGACTTAACTAACAGTTATTAATAAAATTTAATGGACTTGCAGACTGGGGACCTGAAGTTGATGTTGTTGGTTATTGTTTCTTAAACCTTGGGTCCAAGTATCAGCCACAAGAAGAGTTAGTAGATTGGATAAAGAAAGGGCCGAGGCCAATATACGTTGGCTTTGGAAGCATGGTAAGATTCTTGTCTATTTTTTTCAGCGTCTTATTTATGATTGTAGTTAGCTGTAATGGCTTCCTTATTGATTAGCTGTGCTTGTAATTTACTAAGACAAAAAATGTAATTGTTTCCCCTTGTTAGCTTCTTGATGATTCCAAGAGAACTACAGATATCATTCTTGAAGCATTGAAGCATACCGGACAGCGTGGAATAATTGACTGTGGTTGGGGAGGCCTTGGTATTGGTGAGTATCCTTATCTTGCTTTGTTTTCTTTATTTGCTCACATATTTGCTTTTCTATTTCCCATGTCTTTAACTTTTGTTGAACAATGGTTCTTGATATCATATGTACTAAGGAATGACTGTAATATATATAATGTACATTGGATTTTTATAACCTAGTTGGTGTCTTGCAGCTTCTGAACTTCCAGATGACGTCTTCCTTCTCGAGAATTGCCCTCACGATTGGCTTTTACCTCAATGTTCTGCAGTGGTGAGTTCCTGTCAAAGCAGTAACTAATTGGAATTTCCATAGATGTAGATGTTTAGAGCAATACTAAGCTGGACAAGATTTCCGTAATATCCTTGCTTTGAAGTCTTAATTTAGTTATTAAAAAAAAAAAAACCCCATTGTAGCAAAAGATCACCCTTTCTAATCATTATATCAATGTTATTATGTACGTTAGTATTTAACCTATGTAGTCAGTAGTATGTGTCCAAGCATCAAACTCAGCAATTTTTAGTAGTAGTGAAATGAAGAGTCAAGTAATAGTTTTCAACCTAGATTCTTATAGAATAAACTGTGTTTCTCATTTGCAGGTTCACCATGGTGGTGGTGGAACTACAGCGGCTGGACTAAAAGCTGGGGTATGTTTTACTGACTGCTATATTTTTGTACAGCGGTGATGTATACAACTAGAGAAGACAATTTAATTCCATTAGTTCCCTATTTAAGTTGCTCCAGTGATAATATCAGACCATCAAAACTATTCTAAATGATTTCACGTTTATATATATACTTTTTTTTGACTTGTATATTCCTAACAAGTTAATGCAAATCAGATAATTCTGTTTTTCACTTCATGCTTCTGTTTAAAAGTTGTGACATTATTTGAGTAAAAATTTGATTAATTGCAGTGTCCCACTACAATTGTTCCATTCTTTGGAGATCAGTTTTTCTGGGGTGATAGGATTCATGAGAAAGGATTGGGGCCAGAGCCTATACCTGTTAACGAGCTCACTGTCGAAGCTCTCTCTAATGCTATCGAATTCATGCTAGAGCCAGAGGTAATTTCATTCTGAGACATTCTCTGTACTTCATCCAACTTGTATTTCGTATTAGACTATTAGGTACTATAATAATTATCCCAGTGGCCAAAAAGGTTGAAAAAAGGTTTAGCCTACTAAGTTTGCAGTTTGGCAAGTTTCATTAGGATAAGGAACTTTTATGATCAATACAAGGGGGGAAATCAGTGGATAATGCATCTTAGAATTCTGATATAAATAAACAACGCCTTACAAACACATTAGCATTTACTGAGTTTAACCTCCCAGTCTAAATTAGCTCTAAAAAATTTTCGTCACTCAAATGAGCCTCTCAAATACTATAGGAGAGATTTCAGTCTCCAGAGATATCTATGCTTATGTATCTTAGGATTCATAGGTATTAAATGAGCCTTCATTTGAGATTCAGGTAGAGTTTTGGTAGTAACTATCCAAATTCCAAAATGTAATCTTCTGTATGTTATGAGTGATTAGAAGTGCTAATATTATTAAATTGATGCATTTCATAATTGCATAGTAGTAACCTTTACACTTTCCTTCCTCTCATCAGATCAAATGTCGAGCAATGGAAATAGCTCGGTTGATAGATAATGAAGATGGTGTTGCAGCTGCTGTCGATGCATTTCATCGACATTTACCCAATGAATTGCCAGTGCCACCTGCATCAATGGAAAACAATAGTCCAAATCTTATTCAGTGGTTCTTTGTTCAAATTGGAACAATTTGCTGCAGTGTTTGTTCTTAGATTATTTTGTAGGTGTGAGTGAGAGTAGGGTTTTTGTATAGCTTTTGCCCTCCAATGTTGGTTAATACTAATACCATTATTTGTAATTAACCATTCATTTTATTCATTTCATTCTGTAAATTATGTTTGGAAAAATACATTAGGGAGTCCAACTCAAGAAAGTTATTGCATTAGGTGAATAGATTTGTTACATTTATTGTTCACAAATTAACTAGGTTCTTGTAAAATAATTTTGAAAAAAAAAAAAAAAAAACATATTGCTAAACTTATGTAATTGCCGTTGGATTTCAATTATATCTACTAATCTAGCACTGGATAAGCTCATGCCCTGAGACAAAATCTCAACTGGGTTGGTTTTTTATTTCTGTTGAAGAAAATATCTTACAATTATTTGTAAACACTCCTGTTAGAGGTTTAGATTTGTCAAGCTTAGACTTGACAAACGGGTTGTTCTGGTCGGGTTTGGGTCAGGTTAACTCGGGTCGGGTCAATTTTAGGTCAACAAATATTTGGTCGGGTTCGAGTTCGGGTCGGGTCAATTCGGGTTCCGAGTCAAATTCGGTCAGCACTTCGGATCAAGTTCGGGTCGGGTCAATTTTTAGGATCAATTTTTGGGTCAATTTCGGGCTGGGTCAATTTCAGGTTGGGTCAGTTCAGGTCGGACCAAGTTTGTGTCGGGTCACCAAAATAAATTCACTTACAAGAAATAGTTGGAAAAATAAAGTAAAATCGTTAAAAAAAAAAAAAACCGTGAGTTCCTATTATTTATTAGGAAAGAATGAAGCCCTAAACTAAGTAATTAACCATTTCATCCTATTCACTTCCGGAATCGGGTCACTTCGGGTCGGGTCACTCCGGGTCGGGTCAATTCGAGTTAAAATCGGGTCGGGTCATTCGGGGCATCGGGTCACATTCGGGTCAACTCCATTTCGGGTCGAGTTTGGGTTCGGGTCGGGTTAGTTTGGGTTCGGGTCATTTTCGGGTCGAAGGTCGGGTCATTCAAGTTGGGTCAGAACTGCCAGGTCTAGTCAAGCTTCTCTTTTTTGCCTTAAACCTTTTTCAACCATTTACTCCCTCCATTACTTTCTTTAATTTATTGTAAGACGGGTTAAGGACCTTAATGTTATCCTAAAAGTATTTAAAATTACCTCCATACTACTCTGTATAAAGGTTATCGTTTTCTAACATAAATTTTATTCTTGAAAAATTTTCATAATATCATAGATTAATTATAATAGCCTTTATAAAATGTATTCATTAGAAAATACACATTAAGATACAGTCAAACTCACTACAAATTTTCTTAAAAAAAAAAAAAAAAAAAAAAAACTCACTACAAATTAATTAAAAGGTAACCTTAAATATGTTAAGCTACATTATACATTGTTGAAGTTATTCTCAAATTGACCGTTTTTCAATAAAATAAACGAAAATTTGTCTTATACAAGACTTATTGAACTTCGTTAGGGGTGTCAATTCGGGTAAACGATTCGGGTTCGGGTTGGGTTTATTAGTTTCGGGTTATAACGGGTTGAAATGATTAGCGGATCGGTTTGGGTCGGTTTTGAAAATTATCGGGTTAGTTCGGTTTGGTTTTTTATATAGTAGTTTCTATTCGGGTCGGTACCTAATCGGGTCAGGTTGTAATAAGTTCGGGTCATAATCAGTTTGGGTTAAACAGGATCGGTTTGAAAACGGGTTTAGCCTTCGGGTTCAAATCGGGTCGGGTTGTAATCAGTTTGACTCATAATCAGTTTGGGCTAAACTGGGTCGGTTTGAAAATAGGTTTCGATTCAAAACAGATCGAGTGAAATCGGGTTCGATCATCATCGGTTCAAGTCATAATCGGTTTGGATTGAACTTGGTCGGTTTGAAAACAGGTTTACCCAATTTGTAGCGGGTTTCAGTTAAAATCATATCGGATTAAAATTGATTCGGATCATTATCATGTCAGGTTAATCAGATAATGAGTCAGAACGGGTCATGTTATAATCTAGTTAAGTTATGATAAGGTGGGTCTATAAAGTAGTGGGTTGAAACAAATCAGATCATAAACATATTGAGTTGATAACAGGATACGGGTTGTAGTTAACGGTTCGGTCTCAACGGGTTATGGGTCGTAAAAGGTTCGGACTCAACGGGTTACATGTTGAAAACGGTTCGGTCACAACGAGTTATGTTCGGTCACAACGGGTTACGGGTTGGAACAGTTCAGGTTTATCGGATTTGTGCCGGGTTTAAACATTTTCGGTTTAAAATGGGTTGGGTTACTATCGGGTTTAGACGTAATCGTTCGGGTTGTTTTCAGTTTCGGGTTGTAACGGTTTGGCTTGATAACGAGTCGGGTCATTAACAGTTCGCACAAACTCGGTTCAGTTCAGTTTCGGGTTGGAAAAAATTGGGTCGGGTCGGTTATCGATTTCCAAAAAATGGGTTTTCAACAGTTCAGTTCCTATTCGAATCGGTTCAAAACAGTCGCGTTTAACGGTTCAGGTAAGAAATTGACAGCTCTAAACTTCGTATATAGATTTGATCTTATGAGAAATTAGTTACAATTAATTTATGTATGGCTTAATCTATAGGAAATTGCTGTTATTCGTTTGTCTTGTCGCCTTTGTTCTCGTACTACCCATAAGCTTTTGTCGTTACATTACATACAACATGAAATAATCCTACAATATATAAAAGCATACCAACACGCAACAAGTGTGCTCTTCATTTTTGACTGAATTTTATCTTCTGCTCTTTTTTGATTTGAGAGAGGAAATATATTAATTAGGTGCCCAAAAAATTTGAAAAGCTCCCCTAAAGCCCTAGCATATAGAGCCAAACAAGAAAAATGGACCTTTTTGAAATGATCCAGATGAGAGAGAATAAACCCTAATATCCAGTAAAAATTCCATCCAAAAGTCAGTGGTAAGCCTTTTTGTTGTAAAAATTCTCTCTAATTATATTAAGTTCGTTACTTTTCCATTCCAATATTCTTTACTTCTGATTTTCTTATTTGATTTATGTTAATGTTTAATTCATTACTATATTGATTATGATTCTTATCTGATTATGGAGTAAACATGCGAATAATTCTAGGAATTTCGGGAATTTTTCCTTAAATTTAGCTATCATTTGTTTAGGTTATGAATCGGAGACATCTGATGAGTAACAACTTAAATGACATTGCTGTAATTATAAGCAAATTAATTTTTAAATGTTTTTACAGCATCAACCTCCTTCTCCTTCCATTATCTTTCCATCTTCTCCAACCTTTCAACCTCCATTGATATTCCCTTTCAAAAAAAAAAGGAGTTGTTATTCGTCGCCTGCGTTTCTCCACATAACGCCCACAAATTTTAGTTTTTTGACATTTTTTGTCTTTTCATAATTTTCACCCAAAACGCAATTTTACATCCTGGAAAATGTTCAGCTCGCGTGAATCATTAATTATACACCAAAAACATTTTATATTACATGAAACAAATTATATAAAATCATTTACGTAAGATAAATTAACAAATTACGTGAGATTATAATATAATTTCACGTAATTTGTTAATTTATCTTACGTAAATGAGTTTGTATAATTTGTTTCATGTAATATAAATCTATTGGATCCACTACACCACAGAATTTTTAGAGTTGGTTTCATGATTTGTATTTGGTTACATGGTGAACTTTAGCTATAGAAACGTGAAATTGTGATAATGTAATTGGTTATATGGTGTAAAATTGGTTTCATGGTTTGTAATTGGTTACATGGTATAATATTATTCTGCATTTAGTACCCTATTATATTTGAAATTGTCATTTTTTCCACTTCAGGTCAAAGATGTATAGTGATGATGAAAACTTTTCTATGTATATTCTTAAACAATCAGTCAAAGTATTGAAGAATGTCAAGGCACAAGGAACCACCTCTACATTCATTTCAATCATTATACCTCCTCATGGAAAAATTACATCAGCCTTAGAGTGGTTGGATAATGAATATGACTGTGTTTTTGAGAGTGTTGATAGGGGAAAGGACAGAAAAGTGATATATGAAGCTATGACTTCCGCCAGACAAAGACTGGCAAAGTATGTGTCAGTTCCCAGCAATGGGTTAATTTTGTTCTACGGGAAAATTGTAGATGATGCTGAAGGTGTGAATAAAGATATGGTCCTTGATTTTGAGCCATTCAGGCCAATTTTTTCTCCTGTGTTATACGAGATAACAAATTTGCAACTAAGGCATTAGAACAGCTTTACCAACCAAATAATGAGACTGTATGCAAAGTTGATCTTGGACTGGATAACTTGGAAGAAGAGATATATTACCTTGGTGATTTGTTTCGAGAAGATGAAAAATACTATTTTCAGGTGTCATTTGACGTTAACATAGCTTCGGTGGTTTTTGGAACATGGTTAAGTAGCAAAAATCAACAAGATCACCTTTACCCAGAAGTTTGCAATCAACAAACGGTGAGCACCAGCTGTATGGAATCTCATTTTTCCTCCTCTATTTTCCTTATTATCATTTCATGGTTATTTCTTAATCAAGTGGTTTGTATTTTTTTTTAGTAACTTGTGCTCATCACTCACTATGTCCGACATTGGAGGTACGGGACAAATTAAATTGGGATACAAGATCACCTACCCTGCCAGCCACCTTCACTACCAGCCGCCCTCCTTGTGCAGTCGTGCCGGCTGTCGGCGCCCAAACTTTACATTCACACACCAACCACAACAACATCCACTCCACCTTCACCCCTCAGCGCACGCATTCACTAGCCGCACCTAACAATCGCAGCCACCAATTCGCAGACCCATGCAACAAATCAGCCGCTACGCCCCCGCTTCCTGCAGCAACGAACATCGACCGTCACAACCCACCTCAGGCCACCGCGCACAACAATCGCCACCACCATCAATACGCAGACCCTCGCAACAAATCAGTCGCTACGCCCCCGCTTCCGGCAGCAACGAACATCGACCGTCACAACCCACCTCAAGCCACCGCGCGCATCAACCACCACCACCATCAATTCATCTGCTCGCCACACACAATCAATCACAGCCTGCAACGCCACACACAATCAATCACAGCCTGCAACGCCACCATCTCCACCAATTTCACATCTAACCAAAAACCTAGCCCATTGAAAACCCCCAATTTCGAAAGGTAAGAATTTGGTAGGGTGGCCAA